AGGAAGGAAGGGAGTATTTAAAGAATGTGAACCGAATATTGATGAAGCATTTCATATTTTTGATGAAATCTAGATTTAATCAACAATGTATGTATTACACGAAGTGTTACGATCATATATTAGGTTATTACAGTACCTCCACTTTATTTACAGTAACGTAACGCACTAACAAAATGTGCACCTACAGAAGTCAAAGTATTTCATGATTAAAAAAGTCAAAAAGATTTTTTTATTCCTTTATTTTTACTACTTTTAAATTCCAGTTTTTTTTCAAGTTAAAGGTACTACTTGTCGCCTTTTTATAATTTTTTTTTTTTATTATTCTTTTACGCCCTATTTAATCGATTATCATTAAATTTGGCATGCCGTTGTCATCTAGAAAATGTATTGTTTTCAAGGGATAGAGAAAAAGAAAGAAAAAAATAACACAAAAAAATATGTACCTACCTCAATTTAAGTTACAGTTTTCCTAAAACACACGTAAGAATTATTTACGTATTTTTTTATTATTTTCCATAATAAAAGGAAGAATCTTATACTGTATAAAAAAAGCCTTTAGATTAGTAGTTTAATAATTAACATTTATAGAATAAGTATATTAAACACTCTCTTCAAGTTTTTATGCTGAACTTGTATATCACTGATTTCCTTCTAAACCGCTGATCCTGTTTTTAATTAAATGAGAACCATTGGAACCGAAAGGTGCGAAAGGCTCGTGGCTTAGTTGTAACCGAGTTAAAACATTACAAAGCTAAGCAGTCCTAGCCAGATCAGTCTATGGATTGGTGACCATTCTCAACACATTGAAACCCCTCCGTAGCTCGAAGAGCACGTGATGCCGTAGATCCCGTTTTGCCATACGCGTAGTTGGAGCCCTAAAAAATAGTCTAACCACAGTCTTTCTACAGAACTTCGAAATCGCCTAGTATTTGGCACAGTGGTTAGCACAGTCTTTCTACAGAACTTCGAAATCGCCTAGTATTTGGCACAGTGGTTAGCACAGTCTTTCTACAGAACTTCGAAATCGCCTAGTATTTGGCACAGTGGTTAGCACAGTCTTTATACAGAACTTCGAAATCGCCTAGTATTTGGCACAGTGGTTAGCACAGTCTTTCTACAGAACTTCGAAATCGCCTAGTATTTGGCACAGTGGTTAGCACAGTCTTTCTACAGAACTTCGAAATCCCCTAGTATTTGGCACAGTGGTTAGCACAGTCTTTCTACAGAACTTCGAAATCGCCTAGTATTTGGCACAGTGGTTAGCACAGTCTTTATACAGAACTTCGAAATCGCCTAGTATTTGGCACAGTGGTTAGCACAGTCTTTCTACAGAACTTCGAAATCGCCTAGTATTTGGCACAGTGGTTAGCACAGTCTTTCTACAGAACTTCGAAATCGCCTAGTATTTGGCACAGTGGTTAGCACAGTCTTTCTACAGAACTTCGAAATCGCCTAGTATTTGGCTTGTGGCGGTCTGATGAAAGTCGCTTCGCGTAAAAAACAAGTTCAGCCGTATCATTACTATGATACGGCTGAAAGCGAACCCCAACCTAGTTTAGGAAAAGGGCTCGGAGGAAGAGGACCCGAAAGGTGTTTTTTACCACATTATTTCTTTAACAATCTATTAGCTGTTATTATTAGCTTGGTATGTATGAATGTAAGGGTAACTTCAAACGTGTTTTTGACCAACTTCAAAATATCTAATTAAATTGTAACTTTACACACTTAGCAAGGACCGATGACAATGCAATAATTTAAACGGTTTGACAAATTACCTTGATCAGGACCTTCGGGATTAACGGCCTTTTCCGTACGTATGGTAGTGTCTTTTGCCACGGAACTTGTTTCTTTTTAGTCTTAATAAGATAATCTTAATCATCATGAATGACTAAAAAGGGAAAGATAAATTAAAGTTAAAAAAAAAACTAAAAAACACATTTTTGTAGCTATCCGAACTAAAAATTAGCAAATAACTTTCTATAAGTTCAAAAAGAAAAATCACTTAATCGTAAAAAAGTTATCTTTACATAGTCTAAAATAAAGTCGCTACTTTGTGTTGTACGCTTAGATCTTTTAAACTACGCAACGGATTTTAATACGATTTTAAGCAATAGACAGAGTGATTCAAGAGAAAGGTTTACATGTATAACACATGCATCTTATAGTAGAGAAAATCCGAGAATTTCAAAGATTTGTCGTAAAAAACATGTTTTTGTGCGTTTACATTGCAAAAGCTGGCTAAAAAATATACTACGGAATATCTTAAAAAGATCTACAAAAAAGTCTGCGACGGTAAATGTTTATTTTCTAAAGAAAACCCACAGTAACCATTTTCATATTTCAAATATTACAAAAAATAATGGGTTATTTACGAAACTATTTTAAACAATACATTATTATTCCTTCTGCAATTAAATACGTTAGATACATTTAATATGTGCATTTAATATAGTTTAAAATTGCTCCTTCCAGCATATCATTCAAATTAATATTCTAGAAGATATTAGAGGATTAAAATGCGGGTGCCCAACAACCGTAAAGATCGGAGCGGGCTTATAAATATTGCATATAAAGATGTCCTGTAGTGTAGTCCCATTATGATAAGAGTATAATTAATTACTCCAAACTGACACCACATTAGTAGTATCTACATTGCACCCGTGCGAAGCTGTTTATCGCTATTTATATTTTAATTTATAAAATACCTTGAAAAACACCATATACTCGTATGGGTGTGGAGTATCTATGGGATCACCGAACCACCCCAAACATTGTGTAGCAAACATTTTTATGGAGTGGTTTAGAACGAACTTTAAACATGGAAACGGCGATACTCTGACCTAAGCTGACCGATCTAAGCATACATCTAAATACGGGACATAATAAAGTATAAACCACAGGTTTTTCTAGATGTACTTATTGGTCATGCAAGGCTCGAACACTAATGTGAACCAAACCGACACACAAGACTTTCGAGTTCACTGCTACTATCACTCATCTTGTCAATTTTCTATGCCTTGACCACTAACAAACCAAGTTCTCAATATCTACGATCCACTGTACCTAGAGTTAAATGAAACAATAATAATAACACACTGCCGTCTGATCCGAAAGTAGGCAGAGCTTGTGCTATGGCAACCAGACTGCTAATAAACATACTTTTTTTTTAACAGACACAGAACAAAGGATCGTGCTCATCACACAATTATTTGACCTGGGTGGGATTCAAACCCACGACCTCTGACTTAGCAGGCAGGACCACTGGATCAACAATTTTATGTGATAATGATTACCGGGTCACCAATTTATCCGGACTACGAGTGCAGTTGCTAGTAACACTCGGCGTGGAACAAAACCTAGTCTATCTCGCCTATTCAAGTCGAGTAACCGATTAGGTAAAATTAAAGATAAATTTATTTCTCACAAAGAACAAGTATTTACTGAAATTAGAAATTAATACTTAAATACACACACATAATCGATACAATTTTTCGGCGACGAGTTTTATTATCATTGTGCCATTTTGATGCAAAAATAAAGCCGCTCTTCCGCCTAGCCGGACACCTAGTAACTACTGCACTCCCCAAATAATAAAGGATGTTGAAACACTAGGTGTATATATCAATCACTGAGAAATGCCCATCTTCAACTTTGATCCTACTGAATTAAAACCGTTTATGTGAACCTGCTGTTATCTTTCACTTATATAAAATTTTAGCATACAGAGAGCTTGTTTACAAAGTTTAGGTTTTAGCTGCAACGTTTCGTGATTTATGCAGTAAATTGCTTTTAAGAGGTTACAAGAGATATTGTGAGCACCCTTAGCATATTTTTACCGCCTAGGAGGAATCTTAGGCCGTAAAAATATGCAGTTACAAGGTAACACCAGCATTAATTGTATACAACGTCCTTTTGTATTGTTTATCGTAAACAGAGAGCAACACGGTAGGGAGTAGCCATACGCAGGCATTCCCCTCTGCAAAAGTACAAGTCCACACGGTCCTATGCGAACAATAAAACTAGTTGCGACACTTGCGACCGGACCGCTCACTAGACTAAATCTAGTTGCACTTCTGAGTAGACGACAGTAGACGTTCTAAAAAAATGATGAATTGATCAATTTTTTTGCGTCAAAAAAAGATCTGCTACGTCAAGTTTACAAAAAGATCGTTACCTTCCATATGTAAGTTATTTTTAATCAAATTATTACTATTCATTTTTAAGCCTAAAATTTACAAAAAAAAAACCCATGGATTTGCCTACCAACACAGGCCGCTCGTTCTCATACAATATTCGGATAAGTCGATGGTTTGTAAATATATGATCAAAATAAAATAAAATAAAATAAAATATATATCGATAAAACATAAATACATCCATGTCTCTTGTGCATATTATCATTTTTGAGATTATGTTTTCTGATATAATCATGTAGATTGTGAGCTTTATTTTAATATATCTTAATATTGAAATTGCATCGAATAAAATACGATAAAATATTTACGAGATTAACATATTATATTAAAATTACTAAGTGTGAACAACCACATTGTTCTTTTATTTATTTTTTGCAGGTTTCTTAAAGTCAAAGGCAAGTCTAAGGGTGTGGTGAAGATTCCTTTCTACCCCCTGACGCAAAAAATACGAACTATTTTGTATCGCGAAAAGACGCTTTCGCTACACCCCTCCACTCGGGCAGATGATCGTAAAGAATATTGTTTAAATTAAAGTGATACTCGTATAGCATTTGTACGTATTAAAAGTAAGATTTTTTTCTGTATCACAAGTTCATAGAAGTTTTAATTTAATTACTTTACCGACTTGCATACATCAAATAACATTTTTTTATTTTACTATTTTATTTGTTACTGGCAATAAACAACCAAATGCCATTTGTCATTAATATAGTTAATAACTTGGCAACATTGTGAGGTCCTTCCAGAATTAAATAGTGTGACGGGCGAATATTTTACGAATTTTGAGTTATATTTCTATTAAAAATGTCGACAGTAGCTGCAGCTTTATCCGTCGCGGGGACCAGATCATCCGGAGCATCTGTCAGAACTCAAAATGGTAATGTTTATATGGTAATTCACATGAGGCTTTTGCACTCCGGTAGATCACATGCATAGCAACTTATGGTTACAATTTTGTAAATATCTCTGGAAAGGTGTAATAGTGAGATAAAAAGTTTATATAAAATGATTCAAATTGGAATAAACTATGATCTGGATGTGTGTAGCAATGCTGAGCTATATTCTTATTTCGAAAATAACCTATGCGTTGATTAATGGGTGACTAAAGGATTGATGATAAAAAAATGTTTTGCAGTTATGGCAGCAGCTGCCATTGCCAACATAGTGAAGAGCTCACTGGGACCTGTAGGGCTTGACAAAATGCTGGTGGATGATATTGGAGATGTAACGGTCACAAATGATGGAGCTACTATTCTGAAGTAAGTGTCTCCAAAATTTAATTTTTCCAGTCAGAATGTTATCAAATGGCAATATGCAGCAATACATATGTAGCTTTTTTTAGTAACTCTTAAATTCTCTACATTACTTAATATCTTTGTTTAAATAATCTGCGGTGCTGAGGTCTCGGTTCAATTCCTGGGACGGATCAAAGTGTTTGTAAGATCTACAAATATTTTTGTCTCAGTTTGGGTGTTTTTTATATTTGTTATAATATGTATGCATTTACAAATGAAAAAAATAAATAAGTATAAGTATCAGCCAATCTAGGTGTCTGAAATATTATTTGCATTTATTCTTTACTACATTTTCCTAGTCATACATTCTTGCCAGAGTGGATGTGGCTGTTGATGGGCAGGGTTGCGGCTCGCTGTCGTCACTCACTAGGCAGAGCCTGTACTATGTTAACCAGACCAATAATAAATACAGTTATATATTTCCAAATACATAAATATCATAGAAAATGTATACAATTATATTTCAATAAGAAAATATATTTGTGTAACAGTTGCCTATAATTATGTTTGTTTTATCTATCTTTGTTGCTAAGTATACTATCATTAATATTTAATCATTTTTCCTCAGAATGCTCGAGGTAGAACACCCTGCAGCCAAAGTATTAGTAGAATTAGCCCAACTTCAAGATGAGGAGGTTGGTGACGGCACCACCTCAGTTGTAATTATTGCTGCTGAACTTTTAAAGGTAAAAATACATAACCAATCTCAAAATAAGAATAGAGAACAAAGAAAAAGAAAAAACTTAAACAAACCCCATAACAACCTGTCTGGCCAGTGGGGTATAGTAGGCCAAAACCTTCTTCCTAAGGATATACTCAGATGTTTTACACCTCAATGTCAAAGCATGAATTACACCCCAAAGAAACAAACAATTGAATATTTGTACAAAATAGTGTCTGCCAACTCTGCACATGTGCAAAGTTACTGCTTTGAACTTGTGCAGAGTTGGCAGACACTATTTTCAGCATAACAACAAATAGGAAAAGTAGTAAGACCCACCTGTGCACTTGGCACAATATCTTATCAATTTACTAGTTACTTGATTTGATTACTATGCAGTGTTACACAGGTGTTGTCATTTTTAGGGTTGTACAGTAACTAAGAAAATTTGTGACTTTTGCAACTGACTGATTTAACTTGAAAATTCACCTATTAAACTAATGTTTGATATAGGAGAGAATAGATATTAATGAAACTAGAGATTGAATACTAAAGCTGTTTATCGAATCAGTCAGAAGTCTGAAATTATAATCATTTTATTTTTTTACATTTTCTAGAGTGCAGATGAACTAGTGAAGAACAAGATCCATCCTACAAGTATTATTTCTGGTTACCGACTGGCATGCAAAGAAGCTGTCAAGTACATACAGGATAACCTCACTGTCACTGTGGAGTCTCTCGGAAGAGCATCTGTTATCAATGCGGCTAAAACAACCATGTCATCCAAACTGATTGGAGCGTATCCTTTTACAAATATTTAGTTTTACAATGTTTTTAACTTTTTAACCGACTTCAAAAAGGAGGAGGTTATCAATTCGGATGATTAATAATTCCATCATATATAGACAGATTCTTAAAGTTATTTTTTTGTTTGAAAAGGGTTTATTCTACAATGGTCTGATGGTGAGTTTTGGAGACAGACCACTGAACTCTTCAAAAAATGACAACAAATCAACTGCAATTGCTGCTAGGTTTTAAGTGCTATTGTTTGAAGTTGGTTCAACTTTTTTTTGAGAGTATTTATTTAGGCATAGCTTCAATACATTCAAATCATTTCAGTAGTAAAATATGATTAATAGTCGTAATCATATTTTATGTAAGTAGTAGTTATAATATATTATTGTGTAGGACACAACTAAATATTATCTCGTAATAATTGACAGATTCCTTTTTTAGCCTTTTTAAAGCACATTTCAAAGTAAAAGATATAACATTCTACTAAAAAATGTTCTGTCTGAAAGTAAGAGGTCCAATATAGCTGTCAGGACAATAATTCCTTAAAAAAGTCATCAGTGATGCAGATTTCTTCTCCGAAATGGTAGTGGATGCTGCACAAGCCATTAAGATCACTGACTACAAAGGAAACCCATCCTACCCTATCAAAGCAGTGAACATCCTCAAGGCCCACGGTCGCAGCGCTCGCGAAAGTGTTCTTGTGAAGGGATATGCTTTGAACTGCACCATTGCATCGCAAGCCATGCCCAAGAAGATTGTGAACGCAAAAATTGCGTGTCTCGACTTCTCCTTGCAGAAGACTAAAATGAAGATGGGTGTTCAGGTACTTCTGTTGTCATTTTTGACCCCTTAATATGAACCATAACAACATCTCAGAGTTAGTAGATGATTAGAAGTGTGTAGATACCCTCTCAGCACTAGTGGTGTAGATACCCTCTCAGGACTAATGGTGTAAAAATGCTTAGTCAACCCCGTTTCTCTTAACCTTACCTATCACAATGATTTTTGTTTTTGGATGTGAAACATGTATGCGCCTCTGCATTAGATGTTTCACAACAAAACAACTGGAGGGACTGGCTGTTGACATGATAACGTCGTGAAGGATAATAGGGAATATGCATGTATTTTTTTTATATTTTTAAACGATTCTACTAGTTATTACATTACCAAAAATAAATATAACACATCCGAAATATTAACCGTTAAGCAAAAAAAAAATTTATTAAAATCACTATCATTTTGGCGCGCTTTTTTGTGACGTCAGATTACACTTTCAGACGAATTTGATGTCAACAACGGAGTGAATTTCACAAAGTTTGTGAAAGTTAAAAAAGTAAGTGATAAAAATTAACTTATTTCCATGGAAAAGCCAATAAAAACTTATTATAAATATTGTGCCGATATTATTTGGGCACAAAGGCCCAAATAATATCAAAACTGCACCTGACAAAGTATATTCAGTCATTTACCTTTCAGTTCAGTCAACATGAGAGAGTCTTTCTACACGGGAATTTAATAATTTAACACTGAAAACGTATTAGTTATTAACTTAAAATGAAACAAATAATCACCAGAAACCAAATATTACAAATACACACAACTTGTTGACACTCTTGACAGTGTAGGTTGACGTCACGTTTTATTCAACCAATAGCGTTGCGTTTTAGAAATATGCGAGGGAATCTTAAAAAAGCCAATTTTTGATGATTAAATTTCACTATTAAATTATAATAAATTTCAAAAATAATTGTATGGGTATCTTTTTTTAGCAATAAACATTACAAATAAAAATATTTTGTCCATTTTGGTGTCACGTGCATATTCCCTATTTGAAACAAACTCTAAACCAACACGTCTGGCCAGTGTGGTATGGTAGGCCAAAACCTCATTTCTAAGGAGAGGCCTCTGCCCAATAGTGGACTACTAGCTTGATGATTATTTTATTTATTTATCTCTTTATTGTACACTTTTTATATTATATTACAATTTATATTTCCCATCTATCCTTCTATACACATTATTTCTACAAAATAATTTCGATGTTTTATATCTCACATATGTTTCAAAACAGCTCAATTATTTATTATGTTAAACCTCATATTATTTTAGGTACTCGTGTCAGACCCAGAAAAACTGGAAGCCATCCGTGCCAGAGAATTAGACATCACAAAAGAGCGTCTTCAAAAGATCTTATCAACCGGTGTGAACGTTGTACTTTGCACCGGCGGTATTGACGATCTTTGCCTCAAATACTTCGTGGAATCTGGTGCTATGGGCGTCAGGCGGTGCAAGAAGGCCGATTTAAAGAGGATCGCCAAAGCAACAGGAGCTGCTTTCCTGACGTCTCTCACTAATATGGACGGTGAAGAAGTATTTGAGCCCAGCATGATTGGTGAGGCGGCTGAAGTTGTACAGGAACAGATTTGTGATGATCAGTTGATTTTAATCAAGGGGTGAGTGATCATGTACACATACCTGTTTAGCCCTAGAAAGGTATTCAGAGGTTAATTTCCATGGAATGTTAAGGAAATCAGTGAATAGATAAAAAATATAAAAAATGCCAACTTTTAACTTTTGTTCTGTGATATATAATTTTGTAAATGTACAATGTACATAATTAATTAATTCCTGTACATACACATAATATAAAATATTCTCAGTAGCCTGAATGTATATGTAGCATGTCTATCGTCTGAGCAACTTATTCTTAAAATACATATCATTTATAATACTGTTTAACGAAAAAGTTAACGGTAAAACAGTAGGATGGTCGTGGACAGTATAATATGAGGATGAATAAGAAAAACTATTTTTAAAACAAGGCACCATCAGTTAATACCTATGAAGAAACAGAAACAAGCTCCTTGTAACATGTGTAGGGAACAGTTCAATGGTACACTTCATGAATTAGGTACTACATAATTCTAGACATAAGAGCATATTTCCTAGTTTTCTTATACTCAAGTCCTTAAGCTCCAATAAGTTCTACCTTGGCTCCGTTCAATATGAATCATCTAATGCTCCACAAGGATATTTTAAAGAGTTGAAGTGATAAGCTGTATTGTATATCCGCAGGCCGACAGCGCGCACGGCCGCGTCTATAATCCTCCGCGGGCCGACGGACGCGTACTGCGACGAGATGGAGCGCTCGGCGCACGACGCGCTGTGCGCCGTGCGGCGCGTGCTGGAGTCGGGCCGCCTCGTGCCCGGCGGCGGCGCCGTCGAGGCCGCACTCTCCATCTACCTGGAGAACTTCGCCACCACACTCGTTAGTACACCACTCTGCCTAGCGACTTATACAAATACAATATATAAATGATACCAAAAGGATTTAACAATCCAATTATTCTGTTGTTTGCAAAGAACATCCCAAGCATCATCTTTTAGGACCTCATTGTAAGATTAATAAGTTTTTTTTCTTTAATCCTTTCTTGAAGGCATTTTTTTTTAAATTACTTACTAGATCTGAGAAAACTGTTTATACGTATTATACGTTTACGTTTATAAGTAGGAGATCGTTCTTAAAGAAAATGATTTTCGTTATACATAATGTTAAAAATTAAATAACTTGTTTTGTGTAGAGTTCCCGCGAGCAGCTGGCCATCGCTGCCTTTGCGCAGTCACTGCTCGTAATCCCGAAGACGCTGGCAGTCAATGCGGCGCGGGACGCCACAGACTTGGTCGCCAAACTCCGAGCGTACCACAATTCATCACAGACAAAGGTAAGCGTAGATTATGTTCAATGACAATTATATTTATTGATTGACATAATTGAAAATTACAACATAATAGTTGATATAAATTTTAATTCATTTCTTGTTGTATCTTAAGGCAAAAATATATGTTAACGCTTTCCTCTCTATATCTATTGGTTCTAATGCTTACTGATTTTGGTTTTCTATGTCATTAAAAAGGAACGACTTAGTGCTTGTTCTTTTAAATATATTTTTTCTTCTCAGGTTGAACACGCGAACCTAAAATGGGTCGGCTTGGACCTAGTCGAGGGTACGCTACGAGACAACCTGGCAGCCGGTGTCATCGAACCTTCTATATCTAAGATCAAATCGCTGAAGTTCGCCACCGAAGCGGCTATCACGATTTTACGTATCGACGACATGATCAAACTAGACCCAGAACAAAAAGGGAAAACCTATGAAGATGCCTGTAACGCAGGCGAGCTAGACTAAGCTGACAACCCTTAGTCATGCACCTAACATTCAACTAAAAAAAACTGTATCTAAGTGTCTCGTTAGGACAGACGTGGATAGAGATCTCAGTACTCCACTAGACTGAATTGCTTGACTACATCAAAACTCTTAAATTGTGAAACAATAATAAAACAAAATAATGTTGACTTTTGATTATACTCTTGGCTTAGACACCTTAGAGTTACCATGTCTTGGAAGTAGTAACTCGTAAGTTAATACTGCATTGTGTTACGTATGTTGGTATTAGATAAGTATTCTACTGTGTCTGAGTATGCATCAATATACTGTACAGCATTAGCTGACTACGAGTAGTCTCCGGTTAGTCACTTCACCAGTTTGTAATCAAAATGGTTTCACAAAGGGAAACACGAAAAATACTGTTCACTGCACCCCAGTGAGCAATGCGCAAACAAGTACCATATAGAAACTTGATCACAAGAAGGTATGCATTATGTTTTTAAATTTGGAAAATAAAATTAGTTATATGTCGAATTTGGACTCTTTTTTTGAACTTCTTATGGAATAAAATATTTTAATACTATTCCATTTGCAGTTTTCATTACAATTAGTATCTTATTGTTATCCTTCTAGGTAACACGCAATATTGATTCTATCATACAGAACCTCGTATGGTTCTGAATAAATGTATTTTAACAACAATCACAAATATAGATATTTATTTTATAAAAAATACACTAATTGTACTGAGATCTACTGAGTTACAGATTTGCTTGAGGTGCCTGCTTGTTGATGGCTATAGTGTTAAGGCATCTACAATTTTAAACTTTCGAAAATAAATACATAATTTACAACTTTGTATTCAGTAATTTTATTTGTAAGCTCTAAAATAGTATTATTGTTAATTTAATGTTCAGTGACAGTAGGTCTTATTGAAAATTCTCGAAAACAGGCAGTACTTCTGGTCAATCTTTTCATTATGAACTTAAAACAACTCATGAAAATGCTTTTGCTTTTTTACTCAGGAAGTAAAAACTTTTTTTTAAATTCAGTCAATGCAAAAGCACCAGATATCACAAGCAACGGGCTTATTCTTTTCGAGAGCTTTTTCTAAATACCTTTTACTGTCTAATATTATTTTGGTTCGCCATTTTCACGTCGAGGCATTTTAGTTAAAACCAACCATTGTTTGGTGATTATTAATATACAAGGTCTGATCGTTTTGTTGTTAAACAGGTGAGAAGCATTGTCATCTATATCAACAGGGTTCATAGCCGTCACAATATATGATATCAATAAACGATTAATTTATTTTAAGACCATTGCTTTTAACATTTAATGCTAGTTTATTTGCTAGGGCGTATCGTACGTCACACTGATAATAAAAGTTTCATACTATTAAGTCGTTTGATTTTTTTATTCCAATGATCATTGTAAAAAGTTCTGAGGTAACAAACATTAAAAAAAATACAGTCAAATTGAGAACCTCCTTTTTTTGAAGTTCGTTAAAAAGTGCGCGTCCCGATGCTAAAAAAACTTAAGACTTATTATCTTCATAATAAATCTAATTAAAAATATTTGTGTGTTCAAGAATAAGAAAAATAATTAAAAAAGGCTTGAAAAAGTAAATAAACATTTGATGTACCCTATTCTATGTATATATGCGCAGGGTAACGTTTTTGACACTTTCCTAGAACTTACTGATAAATATAATCATTTCAACTGAACTAATGATTATCTACAGAAAAATCCGGGCATCCGTCTATGAGCTTATCTTCTTGTGCCTATGCATAATCTTTCTCTTAGAATACCATTGCCCTGAACCACGGCCAGTGCAACCTGGTCGAAACGTTGTGTTGATTTATGTTATAAAATTTCTAATGCTATAATATACTTTAATTTTGCATTATACTCAACATACGTACACTATATCCATAAAAAACCATTGAGTGAGTGATTATTAATTTATCGTCTGTGGTGAAGTAGGTTTTTGAGTGACCTGTAGCGTAAACTCAAGTATTGATTAGATTGATATCAAGCAAAATAAATTTTAACCATATTCAAAAACACAAAAGAGGAGGTTCTCAATAAGTCTGATTTTTTTTAAATGTTTGATACGCCATATCTCCGACAATTATAAACCGATTTTCAAAATTCCGAGGTGATCCCGTCATCACAAAATCATGAACTGATGATGGGATGAAAACGAGGGTAACCCTCAAATTTTACAGCCCTAACAACGTATTTTAGCTTATTGCTGTAGCTATATAGGTATTTGCGTTTGGTTGTCGTTATCTCATGTTGCTGAGATGATGGTGGTAGGGTCCTGGACCATTAGAAGTTAGAGGATAACTCTTTAAATATTACAATCATGTAGATATTAACCTTGTTTTATTCTTGAGATGTTTGTGTTGGATTACAGAGAAGTGTGCACAAGAAAGTAATAAATTAGATTACAAAACATTTAGACGATTTGTTACCTCTTTTTTTTCTGTGCGGAAATCCCCTCGAATACTCACCGGTGGTTGTGTCGGACTCCAACCGACAAAAAACCGCACGCCGTCTCAGGTACCAGTTGCCGGGGAACCAGACCTCGGGCCATATACGGGGTGTAATGTGGAAAACAATATATTTTCGTCGTAGTGTTTTAAATATCGTATCTTTTCATTATAAACGTATCTTATACTACAAATGGTACCACATCCAGATGCGAGAAAATGACCGAGATCAATCCGGCATTAATGAAGTCCGAATTTACACGGACGGTGCCAAGACTAGGTCAGGAACTGAAGCCGGAGTTTTCTCGCAATACCTAAATATGAACATATCACTAGCGTTAGGCCAACACATTTCCATATTCCAATGCGAATGTGTGGCAATAACTTACGCCGCCACAACGGCCATGTCAAGGGGTATCAAGGACTATAATATCCGAATACTATCCGACAGCATGGCCGTCCTAAAGGCACTGGAGGCCAACACAATGACCTCTGGTATTATCCTTAAATGCCATCATGCATTGGAGCAGCTTGCCACATTAAATGTGGTACTCCTCCAATGGATTAAAGGGCACAGTAACTCACACGGGAACGATGCCGCAGATGAGTTGGCAAGGAGGGGCTCGGCAACCCCAGCTACCGGCCCAACCATACTCCTGCCAATACCGTTTAACCAAACACGATTCTGGGCCAGTCAACGGACCCGTGAAGCACACAACTGGAGGTGAAAAAACTCACCCGGCTGCAGACAGTCCAAACTGGTGATGACTCAAGTCACACCACGGCTCACCTGCAGATTGATGCGACGGACAGCCCTCTGTGCAGGGGATGTCTGGAAGCAGAGGAAACGGTCGCCCACGTAGTCCTGGATTGCGAGGGAGTGGCCGCACAACGGGCAAGTATCATTCCTGAGACAAGATCGCTCCTAGAAGCCTGTGAACGCTCCAGTCGGCTTCTGCGCTTCTGGAAGGAGCTTGGTTGGCTCACTTAGCTAACCAATCATCGACGCATAAAGGACCACTCTTGAGTCTAAATGCGGAAACCGAAGCCCACAACCAATACCAATACTACAAATGGTAAAATAAATCCTTATTAACAAAAAGTTGAACCGACTTCAAACAATGCTAACAAAGACCACTAAAAATGATAAAATAATTACAAATCTAATTGAAAAAACTTCTAATCATGCAATCAATTTTTGGTTCTTAAACACCATGGGGCAGATTGGTACAATCAAAACGTACCAACGCTCCTTGCGTATGTGTACATATTTTAGGAGACCTTATTGGGTTTACATTATTTTTGAAATTATTGCTTTTTTATACTTTTGTTTCACTTCATTCATCAAAATATAATTTTTAATATGATTGTTATTGTATCTTATAATGTCCTTTACACCTTTTGAACTACTGCGGGAAGATAGCTACAAGTTTCCATTTTTTGTAATAGTGCTAATAACAATATTATTGACTCTATTGAGTGAGGGTAGAGGTGTACAGCTGCCTGTAAATGGAAACGTTACAGGCATCGAGAGGGATGGTTGCCCGATATTTCTCTCAGTCTCTGTTTAGCTAAGCTGCGATTGACTACTTATAAACCCCTTATATTAATAAAGAGATAGAGGGAACTTAAATCTATTATCCATCTCTCTTATTAACTATATTTTAAGATTGGGGCTCTTGTCCTCTCTAGGTCATATCTCTATGGGTAATTGAGTCCCATTTCGTATAGTGGGTGTCATACTATTCAATATACTCTGTGAGTGGGTGTCCACACTTATCCGACATAACCACCGGTGGGTGGTATCCGAAGAACTTTCCGCACATGCAAAACAAAGTGGGTGTCCACACTGAAAAAATGGAAAGCTTGTCAAAGGTGAGCAACGTCAAAATGTCACAATAATGTCAATGATAATGTTATCAGTTGAATTTTATCGTAAACAAAACAAATATTTACTTAATTAAGTATAGAAATACAATATACGTGTACATTGTTATAGTAGTCTATTGTAGGAAACAAAATGCTTATTAAATTCAAAAATATATCTCCTTTATATAGATTTAGTAAAATTAGATCTTGTAGTTTTTCAACATCAACAGTTCCAACAGCAAAGGTGTTTAATTTATCTATTTATAAACAATTTTAGTATCCGGAAATGGTATTTATTAGATTATTTATCCATCTTCGTATTATGAACGGATTATTAAGGCAATAAATAAATATATCTAAATAATTTTACCTTAATAATAGACAAAACAATTCCAATTGTCTAATACAGCACTAATACTGTAATTTTGTACTGGACTTTGACCTATTTTTAAAAATGTATTTTTCAGGAACAGAGAATAAAAGTTAAGAACTGTGAAATTAATTATGTAAAAGTCGGAACTGGTGCTCAGAATGTACTATTCTTACCTGGGGCCTTAGGTACCCTGTGGACAGAAGGAAAACCTCAAATTGAAGGGTTTAATAAGGAAAAGTTCACCTTAGTGGCATGGGACCCTCCAGGTTATGGTAAAAGCAGACCACCAGAGAAAGAGTTCCGAACAGATTTTTTGGAAAAAGATGCTGATATCGCTCAAGAATTTATGAACGTATGTTCTTTAAAGATGTCTTATGAGACCATAATAAACGCATAGCTAATAAGATATTCTAAATCACTACACTTTCTTTTTTACAGGCACTAGGAATCTCTAAATTCTCTCTAATGGGATTTAGTGATGGTGGAATAACTGCTTTAATCCATGCAGCTAAATATCCTGATGCTGTAAATAAGCTGGTTGTTTGGGGAGCTAATGCATTTATATTACCCCAAGAATTGGAAATGTATAAAAGTATGTGAGTTATTTATGTGTGTGTTCCAATATGTATGGAGTACAGCTTTGTTTTCTATAAATTTTGAATAAGGGGTTGTTGTATGTATATAAACAACATATGTTTATATTATATATACATAGTTATATTATCAATGTATTTCAACCCAAATTCAACTCTCTTGTAAACGGGGCCAATATATGTAGATACTTATAAATATAGAGGTAACGGTAACAGTGTCGCCAGTTGTTTTTTCCTCACACGACGAAATCACAATCACATGTGAAATCACTGTGACTAACCAATTTCATCACATGAATATGATTTAAAAATAGCAAAAATTTCCATGTCTATAAAAAAGTAGTGAGTTATAATTAGCATTGTGTTTAGATAAAGAATTTTAAAGCTAACACCCATAATAATTTGTGCAAAATAATTGGTTCTTTTAAACTAAAAAACTTGTCAAAATAGAATGTCTGCTCGATTTTATTTTTACTGAAAGGCTGACAAACGAGCAGATGGGTTACCTGAAGATTACATGTAACTTGCCAGGTTTTGCCCAAACCCTCCCCCCAGAATTAGAGGGGGTTTGGCTTCTGGTAACGGTGACGGTGACGGATTAAGAATACAGAGTGTCACCACCCCTATTCATCCCGTGGGTGTCGTAAGAAGCGACTAAGGGAAAAAAACTAGGCAGGACAAAAGCACTGCAGAGAGAAGGAAAACTTGACACAAACCCTATATCCTTTCTGAGGAGAGGCCTATGTCCAGTAGTAGACTATTAAAGGCTGTTGATGATGATGAACGGAAATAAAATGGTCCTAGTAACACTCCACTTGGACTGACTGAGATGTGCTAAAGCACGGCTCTCGGAGGTGACAATATTTTACTTTTTCTTCTTATACTCTGTATTTCTTATGCTCTGTATTCTGTAAACTGGTTATGTATTCCACAGAAATTAAAGATATCAACGCTTGGTCAAAGAGATTAAGAGAGCCATTGATAGAAGTTTATGGAGAAAAACTATTTGCAAGATATTGGGCTAGCTGGGTGGAAGCAATGGAGGCTATATACAAAAAGAATAAGGGCAATATTTGTTCAGATTTGCTGAAGAATATCAAATGCCCCACTCTTATCTTGTATGGGCAGAAAGACTCACTAGTGGACAGTGTTCATGTTTCCCACCTTCACACAAATATTGAGGGTTCCAGGTATAGTTAAGACTTCTTGAGTTAAATATAGATAATATAATACATAGACTCACATCTTTATCCTTAAAATGGTAGACAGAGGCATATTTAAACACCCACATTTTGCTGATTATTTTTAGTCCCTCTCATGTAATAATGGCCAAGCCCATTGCCATCAACCGGGGACATGTATTATTAAATACACACAAATCTTAATATATAAAATTTTAGTCCCACTCATATAATAGGGGCCATGCCTATTGCCGTCAACCGGGGACATATAATTTTAAATACACACATCTATATATTTATAATTTTAGTCCCACTCATGTAATGTAATAATAATTTTTAAATACATGCATATCTTTTTGTATAAAATTGCTTGCCCTGACCGACTGACTGATCCATTACGCAGAGCGTAAACCGTTTTGGCGACAAACTTGAAATTTTGGCAGCTGATTCATTAAGGAAGGATTTTTGGAAATTTCACAACAATGGAGATAAAATAAAGGATGAACGGTTGTATGGAAGTTTTCATTTTCAAAGTTAGAAACGTGCAGTAAGAAAACATCACGCGAGCGAAGCGGGCAAGCTAGTTTTAGATAAATTACACCAACACTCAGAACAAAACGACGGGCCTGTTGGTCTAGTGGTTAATGACCGTGACTGCTGAGCTGGAGGTCGTGGATTCGATTCCCACCCAGGACAAATAATTGTGTGATGAGCACGATTCTTCATTAGTGTCGATGAAAACAGTTAAAAATACGCCAAATTTTAGTGGTTAAAAAGAAATAAATAATGAGTAATTAATTAACACGAGCCCTTCTGAATCACCGCTTTTTAACAATTTAAATATGTAAAATGATGGCATATTTAATTTTCTTTTCGGTTTTATCAACTTTATTACAAGTCACATGTGTCACTCTATAAGCGTGGATTCTACGCCAGATCTCTCTCACGTTGACCAACTAACTTTCATCGTTAGATACGTAAAAGATGGAGAGCCTATTGAGAGATTTCTACAGTTCTTGCCTATAGATAAACATAATGCAGAATACTTAGCAGGTAACATTTTGAACTTTATAGAAAGCCTTGATATTCCTATAAAAGATTTTCGTGAACAGAGTTATGATAATGCATCAAATTTGGCTGGAAAGTATTTTGGTGTTCCGTCAAGAATAAAAGAAAAATGCAAATTTGCCATTTTTGTCCCATGTGCAGCACACTCGCTAAATTTAGTAGGTGTTCAAGGTATTGATTGTGTTTCCGAAGCTGCAGCATATTTTCAGTTTATACAAAAATTGTTCAATTTCTTTTCCGCTTTGACCAAACGATGGAAAATTATGGTAGAGAATTTAGGCACAAATAAAGTCTTGAATTCTGTGCCGGATACTAGATGGTCTGCACGTGCAAATGCCATTAATGCTTTACAAAATGGTTATTTAAATATTTCTGAAGCTTTGTCCTCGATAGTAAGTGATTTCAATCAACACAATAACATTGAACACAATACTTTTAACGGAAATATGGAATTATTTTTTGGGAATTATGAACAAAACAAGTTTAAGCTTACAGGATAGCACTATTACCATGGACGTTGCCACAAAGCTTTACGCATCTGCTAAAGAAAAAAATTCAAATGCTGACTATAAAGATAAATTTGACAGGAATAGAATTCGCAGCACAGGCGTTACTTTTTTTGAAGGATCATCAGAGACTGTGCAGTTGCATGGGCAGGAAAAATTTCGTATAGATACACTTATCCTTATAATAGATACATTAAATGCACATTTAAAAAATCGTTTTGGTAGCGTATCAAGAAATTTACGATCGTTTTCGTTTTCTTTCACAATTAACAACAATTGATTCTGACGAGTTAACAAAAAAATGCAATGAATTTAAAGAATTCTATCACGAAGACATTAATGCATATGAGCTCAAATCAGAGTGTTTTGGGCTACACAGGGGGCTAGACGGAAAAAATTCTCACGAAAAGTTGCAACGACACTTTTATGTCAGTCATTCAGCGCCATCTATCGAATAGATAGGAAATCATTACTTTTCATCTCAGTATTTATTTTGAATTGTCACTTGTCAGTCATTCAGCGCCATCTATCGAATAGATAGGAAATCATTTCTCAAGGAGATTTTACCAATGTATAAATTGTTTTAATTAGAAACCAACTGAAAAATATGTAGGTAATAGCCGCTTTCATAGATGGCGTTGTATTTGTATTGAAAAATATACAAGTATCTTTATCAGCAGTCTGATTACCATAGCACAGGCTTTGCCTAGTTTGGGATCAGACGGCCGTGTGTGAGATGTGTTAAGTTATTATTATTCTCTTTATTTATTTTATACACATCTAAATTATATTTTTAAACACACATATTTAATAATATAAAAATAGTAGACCATCGACATCGGGAACAGGGAAGAAGACACCGGTGGTTAGAACACCAAATATAGGAGCCTCCTCACTATACGGGCCGTGTCAAGGATGCAGAAGGCAGTCCTGCCTTCTGCATCAGACACTTGATCCAACCGTCTAACGTAGCTTATTATTATTAAAATGATTGTGCTCATCACACAATATTCGTCTTGACTCTTCCCAACAGTAGTCAATTCAAAATAAGATTATAATTTAGGTACCTAATCATTTTGTAATTCCTAGAGTACTGGTCGATGTTTGATGATAATGATCGAATGAAGGTCGAAGAGATCGAAAATAAATATTTATTTTTCCAGAATACATCTATACCCAGAAGGAAAACACCACATCCATTTAAAATATGCTGAAGATTTCAACAAACGAGTGGAAGATTTTTTGTTACTTCCGTAATTTATCTAATCACGTTAATTCTATGTAAGAAGCATATTTCCCGGGGATTAAAAGAATTTTGGTGCTAATGAATGTTTTTAAATGTAATCACAAAGTCCGATTTTAGTAACAGACTATTAAATCAAACTACCTATGTAAGAAATAAAACAAAAATGGGAATTGAGACCCTAAAAACAGGTAGGTACGTTAAGTAGGTTATATACAGTGAATCATAAAACAACCTTATAATAAAAGAAATCAAACAGCTCTGTCTTTTTGTTTTTGAATTACAGACTAAACCAAGTTTTTTGTAAACGGTAAAATTGTCTTAGAGAAACTAAGAGCGGGCCAGGCCCACTCTTAGTTTGGATCTCAGTCGCCCTACCCTGGGAGGACCATATGATTTCAGGTCACGCCGTCATTTAGTCGCTTACCAGTCAGTACCTAATAAAAGGTATTACTTACTTAGCTAAAACCATAACAAAAAAATGCATCGTGTTCGGCTGTTTAAAATAATAGCAGTAGCAAACGATAAGGTATCGAATAATAAAAATGTATCCCGTATTTACGTAAGTGCTATTGTGGATGACTTTTATCGTAAAGTTTAATGTCACACAAGTAAACAGATTACAAGTTCAAGTTTAGCTTTGATATGTAAATTACTAGTAGATTGATACGAAAGTATAGCTACACACACGGACGTTCTATGCCTATACAATACATAACTAATCTGACAAATACTACTACAATAACTTACAAAACAATTTTATTCCGATTAAAGTAGATAAGTTGGTACATATACGTTTGCTTTTACACGACGTCATACACAAAAAAACTGTTAAATTGAAATAATGAAATTCGAACTTTTTCCGATGGGGCAACGCACACGACGATCACAGAAGTGTGGCGTAAGGTGGAATTAGCTGGAATGCGTGGGAATTCTCCAGCATTCCCGCGCCTTCTAGCGTCATGAGGCGAAATTTAGCTTACATTCCATTCCGCGGCGGTGTAAATTGAGCGTTATGATTAGCTCTGGATATAAGAGAGCCATACTCCACCACATAGGCCGACTCAACCAGAGTTATATCTCAGCCTCACAGAAAACCAGTGTTAAGTATTTCTTCCGTTACTTTTACCGACTGAAGTTACTGGAGCTCTCGCCCCCCTTTAGGGAGGAGGCTGAAGGGGCAAAGCACTTGTCTCTGTGGAGAGGTTATAAAAGAAAAAATATAACAAAATTCCCATATTTTATTTTCATTCACTTATAAGCATGATTCATTTCAGAATAAAACAATTTACATTCAATAACACATAATTTAAGGTTTGATGTGACTCATATTTTACTGTACAAGGGAAAAAATATTGGCGCGCTTCTTATAACATTATAATCAGATTTAACATAGGTAGTATGGCGGCGTATCGCCCTTTGTTCACTTATTGTTTTATGTTATTTACTTTGCAACTTTATACTTGAATATTGTTAGTGTAAGGATAACTAAATATTGCAATTTTATTACACAGAACTCGGGTTTAATGTGCTCTAATGTACAAAACAAATACAATTTTATTTCGCAGTAAAACTTTCAACAATAGTAAATGAAGTAAGCGCATTGATGTACCATATAAATAAATATACTTAGCTGCTGGACATATGAGCAACAAAACAAAACACTTTTTTTAATTGCATGTAAAAATTGATGATCACTACTCCTATATAGGCAAAAGTAATTAGACCCTGGAAATTTTAAAGCGTAAGACAGACTTGACCTGACTCAATATACATTGTTCCTGTCTTAGTGACAATTCCAAGCAACTAACTACTGTTAAAAAATGATGTTTTAAACACCATCGTTAACATTTAAAAATTAATTTACGACTAAAAAACAACAACATTAAAATGGTATTCATTTGTCAAAAATAAACTCAGAGATATCAATTATCGCATCCACGCCACAAAAAGATATGTAGCTGCCATTGTGAAGAGGGGGATCGAGATGACAATTTTCAATATATTGCCAATTTTTTTTATTACTTAGAAAAAAGCTTACTATGAGCACAATCAAAACACAGGGGAGGATATTTATTTCTATCTTTACCCTACAGAGAGTTACTAGTGAGTAGTGTTGTTGAAGGGAAGGATAAAGTCGATATGTGCAAATGACATCACTAGCGATTCTAGTGTTTTAGGCATCGGTAACCTTATACCATTAATCTCACCGTATCCTTGATTACAACACTACTAATATTTAAAAAAATAGAAATTCCCACAGAAGACAGCACTTTTTGAACGAGAAGCTATGTCCAAGCAAACGCAGATTTCTTAAAACACACGGCAGTTCGGCAACTGTATCTTATTTCTATTGTACACCAATGCTAATGGCTTGTTAATAAATACGTATTGCACTCAGTATGTAAAGTCGATTACAAAACTTGACCTACCATGTTGTATCATACAAATCGAGTCTGACTAATTATTCATATACATACAATCGTTGTAAAAAGGTTAATATTGAAATTCTAAGGCACACATTATGAGCTAGTGTCCTGTCGACAAAATGGAAGCACATTTTATATTCCAATGTATGAAGTTAATGGACCGTAAGTAAATGTTTTACATGTATATAAACAAACACACATAAGCAGCCTACCTCGATAAATACATAAGAAAATATAGTGACAATCATTCACTAATTCCAGTAAGCTTGTTCTTATCTCATAAATAATTTCTCTAGTTACAAAAAATAGTATACACTGAATGGACATTACACAAGGGGCGCGCGCCACGTCACAGTGGCGCCGCCCCTCAGCACCATAGCCTATGTTTGTGATCCATCCGTTACATATATTACACTGAAATAAGATTACTCTTACAAATACATAACGATACAATATTACAACATTATCACCGGGATTATTAACAATACGGCTTTTTAATTAATTTTAAATACGTTTTATTCGTTACGTTTAAAAAAAACTAATGTTTTAATAGAGAGAGTCAAAGGCACACACTTTGTAAAAAAATCCTACAAATTAGTCTCAGTGTCTCTTTTATCACTGTCGGAGTCGCTCGTTATACGTACACAGGACCCTGATTATCGTTGTCGTCTATTTTCGTATTTATTTTGTTCATGTAACCATCGTCGAAGAATCTTCTGAATGTGAACTCGAAGAAGCCGTGGAACTTACCGTTATCGAGTAGTTCACTATCCGACTTGTTGGAGTCGGAACTGCCAGAGTTGCGCAGCTTGTCGGGATCGACCGGGTCGAAGTTGGACGTGTCCGTCGGGTACTCGATCCGTGGTATGAAGGGTGCAACCTGTCTTCTCAGTCCCTTGTCAAAATCGATGCTCTTTAGGAAGGGATGGTTTTTCACCTCGTTGGCATCCTTGCCAAGTCTCGTTTCCTGCCCCGAGCAGAGCTGTAGGATTAAATCCTTGCTCTCTGGTGACAGGTTTGCAGCATCCGGAACATGAAGTGAATTCTCCCAATTTATCACCTGAAGAAAAATGTAATAAAATTCATTTGAGAAGAGAAGTTTTTGCTGATGACCTTACAGGGCTCCCTTCCAGAGTCGGACCGGAGTTGAAGTTATTATAATATATATCTTTATGGGATAAGATTATCGTCACGATCTGGTTTAATGTGCATTTAAACCATAACCCTGTAAGTGTTCAGTAGGTAAATTTACAATTACTTTAATACTATTCCCAAAAGTTCACATGAATATAAGAAGAGAAGACGTCGTCTGGACATAAAAGGTATCATGAAATAGATTAAAGTTCATACATAAACCAGTTTTTAAAGTTGGTTATCAAGTATTTTTGTATGATATGGTATGATAAGGTATGCTATTTGAGTTATTGTGTGTGAAGTGACCATTACTAACACATTCTGCTTATTTGAGGAAGCTAACGTACGGTCTATGGCCGGTAGCACATATATTTTCATCATCATCATCAACAGCCTATACTAGTCCACTGCTGGGCATAGGCCTCTCCTTAGAAAGGAGGTTTTGGCCTACTATACCACGCTGGCCAGACGGGTTGGTATTACATACATATATTTTACCCAGCTCAAATCCTCCTACAAGAATGTCAGAGCAGACTAGAGAGGAATAATCCACGGTCTTTGTAGACATTACTTCTCCCTGAAGGTCGTCACGGGTGAAAAGGTAGTTTCCCCCCACCTGCCATAGAACGATCCGCGGCTGTCTTAACGTCTCGCCTAATTAGGAAGGGACTTCCTATTGGCACACCGTGTAGTTGTAGTGGTTCGATTTTGACACACCACTTTTGAAAACCCCGGTGTTATAACAGCGAGTTGGTCCGTGTGGTGACGGATTAAGAATACAGAGTGTCACCACCCCTATTCATCCCGTGGGTGTCGTAAGAGCCGACTAAGGGAACAAACTACGCAGGACAACAGCACTGCAGAGAGAAGGAAAACTTGACACAAACCCTATACCAACCCGTCTGGCCAGCATGGTATAGTAGGCCAAAACCTCCTTTCTAAGGAGAGGCTTATGTCCAGCAGTGAACTATTAAAGGCTGTTGATGATTGATGATAACAGCGTTTGGGGGTTTCCACCCACACAAAAAGGGAACCCTATGTGCCGATTTAGTGTTAGTATTTAATTATAATAAATATGTGGATAGTCTATGCCTCCAGAAGACATATTTGCAAGTTTCAATAATTAATAATGTTTTAGTATGTAAGGATAATGCAAATTAAAAAGTCTGCTTACCTTGAGTTGTGTTTCTGCAGGCGTGGCCGCTAAAAAAGGTGGAGAACCCACCAACATTTCATAGAGTATCACACCAACGGACCACCAATCACACAACTGCGTGTACCCCGTGCGGGTGAGCACCTCGGGTGCGATGTAGTTCGGTGTGCCGACTAGTGAGTGAGCGAGACAGCGCTGGTGCTCTCGCTTCCGTCGCCTCTCCAACGGTTTCAGCTGGTGACAGCGGCATTCGCCCATTGCACCCCATTCACCGTCCACTGGATCCATAGAGTCTTGCCGTCCGTGATCTGCAAATACAATATTATCAAGATTATAATATTTATTTATGTGTATTTTTTTAAAATTTGACCAATGAGCACTCGCGGTGCTAGAGTTGGTCGTACGAGTTTACCCATCATATGTGACTACTGTAAGGCTCATACGTTTTTATATAATAATTTATTCTTATTGACTTAAATCCGTAATGACGTACGTACAAATAAACGGAGCCCTCATTAAAATCGCTAAAAGGACATATCTTTAGCATTTATATATAAACTTCGAATGTTATACGTAGAGACCGTATTAACTGTCACTGTTTTTTTCTTCTTTTGCAATATATTTGCAGAAAAAGGCTTCATAGTACATATAGAAAAAAGAAAAAGAATAAAAAATTATACAAAAAATGCATAATCTGTACTCACCATTTCTTTGATAGTATTTCGAGTTATGAGTCCACCTGAACCCAGTACATAAACCAAAGTCAGTCAACTTGATGTGACCATCCCGATCTATGAGAATATTGTCGGGCTTTATGTCCCTGTGGATGAACCCCATCTTATGGACGCTCTCCACGGCGCACGTTAGCTCCGCTATGTAGAATCTCGCCAGACTCTCCTCGAATATACCCAACTTTATTAACAACGACATCAGATCACCACCAGGTATATAATCCATAACAAAATATAAGTTATCCTTGTCTTGAAAGCTGTAATACAGTTTAACTACCCACTCGTTGTCGGCCTCCGCCAGGATATCTCTTTCGGCTTTTACGTGCGCTACCTGGTTCCGCTTGAGCACATCCGCTTTCCGTAGTGTCTTCATGGCATATAGATGACTAGTATCAATTTTCTTCACTAACGTCACTTCTCCGAATGCACCCACTCCGATCGGTTTTATTTTTGTAAACATTGACTTATCCATTTTCGCTCTCTTTAGTCTAATGTAGTTGGATTCTTTCTGAGATAACATCTTCCTCATTTGACATTGCGCTTCCGCACTAAGACCTATTTTAGTCATTTCTTTCTCCAACTGCATCCGTCTAAAAGTTCGCTGTTTATAGGATTTTAAAATATTTTCCACATGTTGTTCCATAAAGAATTTAAATGCTTGAGGTGAATAATTTCTAACTTTACAGTCCCGTCGTTCGTCTTCTTTCTCCTTGCTGATATTCTTTCGCTCTGGTATGGGAGATTGATGCCTAATCTTTTCCATTCCTTTCGGCCGTCGTTCCGACGACCCATTCGAACTTTTATCCGAACTCGACGTAGCTACACTATCCTTCAGAAGATTATTTGTGCAATTTTGATTAGGGCACTTAATTTCTACCTGAGATGATTCGCCATTATTCGAAAACTTCTTATGTAAAGGAGAGTGGTGGGAATTGACCGTAGTCGTGTTGTCGGCTTGATTGCCGTACGGCGGGGGTGGAACAGGATGCATTCCTCGCTGAACCGCTAGAGCCTGCATCGTGATGGCATAACTTGGCGGTTCTGTAGTGGGGACGGTGGGAGTCGTAGCCGTCGGTATACCTTGAGGCGTGGGACACGGGGGTTTCGGTGCAAGCGGGTAGCTCGGCGGCGTCTGCACTTGTTGCTTCTGCTGGATGGAGCTCGCGTACGATGGAGGGGGAGGCTGCGTGCCCGAACTTGCCACCGGAGATGGAGCCACAGGCGCAATAGCCGTTTGGAGCACTGGCTTTTGTACTTGCGTACTCTTGACCGACTGCATAATAATCGGTGGTTGTACTGCTTGTCTCGCGGTCCACGCCTGTATCGGTGTGGGGCGAGTCATACCCGAGGCGGAGCCGGTCGATTGCGTCACCGTGATGGGACTTGGTGAGCCAGCAGATGTGCCACCCGAATAGATCCCAGACGACGGACTCTTCCGGTAGTCCTGCGATTGCGTCGGACTCTGGCGGTTCTGCATTGAAGACGAGTAAGACGGTGGGGGTGGTACTCCCGATATGGGATAAGGAGGGGGAAGTTCGGCGCCGCCTGCACCAGTTTGGTAAATGCTGAGCGCCTGAAATTGCTGCGTAAGCTGTTGTTGGACTTGCGGACCGTTTTGTACGACCATGGGCGTTCGTGCGGGTGGTGTGGGAGCAGCGGCAACCGGAGATGTGCCACGAGCTGGCGGTAATGGTGGCGCTGGTGACATCCGCTTCATGAGCTGCTGCACGGACGGCATGACCGGCGGCGTGGACGGACATCGTGGAGGCGGTGGCGGTGGTGGTTCTGAGAACCCCGACGGTGAGTACTGTCTACTTAGTTTCTCGTGGGGCAGGGGAGGTGCATCCGAAGGCCGAGGGCTATCGGACCGCGAGCTCCCCGCTCCCGAGTCGAGTGCGGGACTCCCTCTGTGGAGGTTTATCTCGCGCTCTAGACTAGGTTTCCTTATTAACTTGGAGCTCAATGAATTTAAGTTGTTCTGTTTTAGAACCCCATTGAGAGTTTCTTGTTGCTTCGACAGGTAATCGAGGGCCACATCAAACCGCCCGCCAGCGTATTTTAGGGCTTTTACAGCTGGGTCCTGGAAAGATCCATGAAAGTAACTGTTATAAAAATGCTGTGTAAAAATGTAACTCTTTAGATGGGCGATTTTAGTTTTTAACGGATTCGTTATTAAAACCCTAAATCTAAATTTTTAATTCAAAACGACGGAAAACACAAATTACTCAGATAGATTTTTCTAGTGTTGTATTTAAAATGTATATAAACTTTGAAACAACGGCCGAAAAGTAAACACTCCTTCGCAAATACGGTTACAACTCGAAATCGTCGACATTCTTTGACGATAAAAAAAATTGATAATGGCCATATGTGAGATGTGTAAAGTTATTATAACTATTGTTATAATAATAAGGTGAGTTAACTTTACTAGTATTCTGCTAACAGTAGACAGTCTGCCCTAAGACAACAGCCTTTATCTCCTGTAAAGTAGGACTAAGCAAAGTAGTTAAGTCTATATGTCCTTCTCCCTTCATTTTATCGGCTATGGTATTACAGCACCTTTTGGGTTATTATTAATAAGTACAAAGTTGATATTCTACATAGTAGAGGTATGGTCGGTTCCGACCTATGACATAAAACGCAAAAAAAAAAAACCGAGACGTATATGATATGAACAGAGATGGCGGTAGATTGACATTTCACGAGTTACACATAAATGGAAACGACCCTCTCTTATTAAAGTAGATGGTGTTTTAAAATTCTGTGTATAATAAAGTACCCAGCAATGGCGCAGATACTGAGTTTTTATTTGACTTAAATCAACTATGATATAATCACTTTGTGTTGCCCTTCACCACAGGCTATATATACTCTCCTTCCACACACAAAAAATTAAAACTGTAAATAAATTGCTTGTTTTGAACTAATTGTATCTATTAATATAAATATTAATAAATAGTCAGTGTAGAACAGTCATATAAGAACTACTTATACTAATCAAAATGTAAACAGACTATTCAGTAAATATACTTTGACCGTCTCGGTGGTGCAGTGGTAGCGTATGCGACTGCTATGCTGAGGTCTCGGGTTCGATTCCCGAGTCGGACCAATTGTTTGTATGATCTACAAATATTTGTTTTGGAGTTTGGGTGTTTTAAATGTATAATATTTATGTATTTACAATAAAAAAGTATATAAGTATTCTATTAGTCAATCTAGCTTTCACAGTACAAGCTTTGCTTAGTTTGAAACTAGATGGCGTCCATGTCCGAAAAATTAATATTAAAATGCTTTTCTTATCAATCTTTTATATAATACTAGTAAAATTTCAGTCTTGTTTGTTAGAGATTTGCCCTAAAGTTTGTTGGTATTAGAGAAAAAACAGCCTTTATAAACAACATCTATGTAGAGTGGTAATAAAATAAATAGTAGTTTAGAAAACAGGTTTTTTTTTAAACTTAACTAATTTAAAAGGAAATCTACTATATACCATCCAGCCATCATCAGACCATTGTTACTAAATCTAATATGTTGTACTCATTGAAACAAATCATAATGAGCCTTAACTAAAGAGTTGCAATATCCACCCCTAAGCTCTATCATATTTCTTAGGCGGGACGCTGTTGCGCCTTTTACTCTATAGAACAGTGAGAGGCGCGGTAGCATTTTAGTAGTGTAGTACAATCAATCATACTACACATTATACCTAAGTTTATCTTTACATAGTATAAAATAAAGTCGCTATTTTGTGTTGTATGCTTAGATCTTTTAAACCAAACAACAGATTTTAATGCGGTTTTCACCGATAGAGAGAGTAATTCAAGAGGAAGGTTTATATGTATAATGCATGCATATTATAGTAGCTAAAAGCCAAAGAATTTATACATGTTTTTGTGCGCTTACATTGCAAACGCTGACTAAACCTTACGAGATAGACCAAAATAATGTACTACAGAATTGTATAATATATCTTACAAAGATCTACATAAAAGTCTATATAGTTTATGTCTATCTCTTAAGGATAACAAACAGTAACCATTTTTATCTTTTAAATTTTACAAAAAAAAAATGGTTATTTACAAAGATATTTTAAACAATACTTTCTTATTCCTTATCCAATTAAGTATGTTACATTGTGCATTTAATGTAGTTAAAATGCTCTTTACGGCATATCGTTAAAGTTAATATTTTAAAAGATATTAGAGGCTTAAAATTCGAGGGCCCAATGGCCGTCGAGCCTTACGTCCGTCTTGTATTCTTATATAAATAGATATTCTGGTCTAGTGGTTATTGACCCTGACTGATAAGCCAGAAGTTTGGGTTCGATTCCCACTAGGGCAAATAATTGTGTGATAAGTAAGATCATTTGTTTTATGTCTGGGTGTAATTTATCTATAATATCTATGTATTTAGAAAAACATAATACAGGCTCTGTCTAGTTTGGGGGCTGTGTGTAAGATGTGTGTAATTATTACTATTATTATTTCAACATGACAATTAGAAGGGTGTTATAATTAACTTTCAAGATTTGTTTATAGAGTTACAACAGTCTACCTATTTATCTTCAAAAACAAACAAAACAACTAATATCAGCACATTATATGAGCCTTTTAAATATTATTTTCTTTTTGGCTTTAGAGGCTATCAAGTTTGAACTTTTTGCTGGTCTTGTATTTTTAATCAATTTGAGAGGATGTCAAAACTAAGCGCACACCTACAATAAGAGAGGTAGTTAAAGAGGTATTGTCAATAAAAATGATAATTATTGTCAAGGTCAAGGTTAGATACAGTTGTAGGACTTTGGGCAACAACACAGTTTATCATTATCATCAGCCTTTAATAGTCCACTGCTGGACATAGGTCACTCCTTAGAAAGGTTTTGGCCTACTATACCATACTGGCGAGATGGGTTGGTCCAGCCGGTCATCGCCGAGTGGGCAGGGCCTGCCGCCCTGCCCACTCGGCGATGACCGGCTGGACCCTTACCTTCCGGCTGACGCAGGTGCTTTCCGGGCACGGTTGCTTCGGAAAGTACCTGCACTCCGTCGCTAGGAGGGAACTGAGTCCCGCCTGCCACCACTGCGACTGGAGTGAGGACTCGGCCCAGCACACGCTGGCGGTCTGCCCCGCATGGGCGACGCAGCGCCGGGCCCTCACTGCAGTCATCGGAGTGGATCTCTCGCTACCGGCCGTAGTACGCTCCATGGCCGGTAGCGACAGTTGTTTTACCGCGGTCGCAACCTTCTGCGAGAAAGTAATCTCGTAGAAGGAGGCGGCGGAGAAGGCCCGGGAGGACGACCTCCACTCGGACCCGATCCGCCGCCGGCGAACCGGGCGGCGGAGGCGCGCCTATCACCGCCTCATGCCGCCCTGAGTGTGGCCGCAAGTGGACGGGGTGGGTTTTCCCTCCACCCGCATTAGTTTGGCCAGCCGCGAGGGGGCGGCGTCCGCGTGTGCCGGACGTCGCCTAAAGAGAGGAAAATTTTGAGATGGGGCCCGCAAAAGGAGCGGGCCGGCGCTAGGAGGGGTCCGGATGTCTTAATAACAGCTGTTCCCGGATCCCTCCTATTACAGGCGCAGAGTGGCACACAGTGTGGTTTTAGTCGGTCCGAGTCCGACACACCACCCCGCCGCAAACCCCGGTGGGGTGACGGTCCGAGGGGATTTCCACACGTTAAAAAAAAAAAAAAGGATTTGTTTGAAAAAAGAGAAGGATAACTTGAAAGAAACTCTATACCAGCCCTCTACTTACTATTGTAAACTTTGTTTATTTATTTATTTTATTACTTTACTATTACTTTATTACTTTAATATTTACTTAAATTTTGTCTTCATCATGTTTGTATGAAATTAAGGACATTATTGTTAAAGTGGGCAATTAAATGGGTACATTTTTAGGGTTCCATATCAAAAGTCTATCTGTCTGTCAGTCTGTCACCAGGCTACTATCTCATGAACTGTGATAGTTAGACAGTTGAAATTTTCACAGATGTTGTATTTCTGTTTGTTGCTATAATGACAAATACTAAAAGCAGAATAAAATAAATTGTTAAGGGGCCATACAACAAATGTGATTTTTTTGCTCAATATTGATAACGGCAACAGGTGGACGCTTCAAACATTCACAGAATATTTAGTTATATATTCACTGTGAAAAAAAAAAAATTAAGGTGGGCTCCCATACCGCAAACGTGTTTTTTTTGCCATTTTTATAGATAATGGTATGGAACTCTTACAGTATCTATTTCTTAGTCTGTAGTCTAGTTACAACAGCATAGGCTCTGCTTGGTTTGAGATCAGAAAGCTGTTTGTGAGATGTGTGAGGGCATTAATTACTATATTATTAGATGTCTTGAAAATAATTTTATACTATATTAGGAACTAAGAGTGTTAAACAAGGAAATTGTTTACTGTTGCACATCATATATTATTTGTTTTCAATAAATTTAGTAATATATTTTTTTTACATAATTATATGCTCCACATTGTTTCTTCCTAAAAGGGTGGACAGAGGTAAATTAAATGCCCACATTTTGTTCTATAGTAAAATTTTAGTCCCATTTTTGTAATAGGACAAGCCTATTGCCATTAATCGGCAACATACATTTTCAAATAAACACACCTAAATACCTCCAAATACACATATACATTATAGACTATAGATTATAGCTTTTACTAGACATGGAAGTTATTGTTACTTTTAAGTCATAATATGATGAAATGATGTGTTTTTGACACAGCTATTTTACCTGTGATTGTGAGTTGGTCATCGACAAAAATAAATACCATCAAAATCAATCAAATTTAGACCTTAGTTTTTTTTAGTTTTAGACCTTTTGCAAATCTGACCCTAGCATAATAAAAATAATAATATGTCTGTAATTTTGTAAATTAGTCACAGGTAAGATTATATGATTTATAAATCATACTAATATGATTTATCAAAGGTGATTGAGATTTTATTCCATCCCTAGTTTTTATCAATCTTTATACCTATATAAAAAATGTTAAGCTGGTTTGTGTATGTCAAAAACAAAATTCTGGAGTGATTAAGCTTAAATTTTGGCACGCTGTACAACCCGCTTCAAATAATAATAATTTATTTGACCAACATACATTACTGTTTAGAATATTTTGAATTATCCTAGACAATAATTAGACTAAGTTATACTAGCGTAAAACTGTAGCAGTGTTAGTTTTTTTTATGATTGTGGGATTCACATCACATGATTTTTTACACATAAAGGTATTAAGATTTAGTTCAAAACTTTAGTTGCTGCTTGCCTGAACTAGGGTAAACCTGAGTTTCAGGTGATTGCTTCAAAGATAGTTTTTATCTATAGTGCCTGACAGTTTTTTTCTTCATTTCTCATCAATGCAACAACAATATGCCACAACTAAGCATGGCAGGGTATGGCTACCATATTATATTTTGTTTTAGTTTGGTATTTAATAGTTGTAAATGTATACTGATGCACTACAGTATATATGTGAAAGATTATTCCTATCCTTTATAAAATTTTTAAAATATAAAATTATTGGTGAACTAATAGATTTTTATACAAAAACTACAGAATTTTGATTTAAAAATAGAGCAGAATCATTTGTTTTGCTCGGTGTCTATTGTAGGTATGACAGCCGAATGGCGTAGTGGTTTGTGTAATTGACTGCTACACCAGAGGTAGCGGGTTTGATTCCCACTCAAGTCCAAAATTTATGTGCATGAACATTTAATGTTTGATTTTCTCTGGATGTTTTTATGTATAATATGTATGTATTTACAAAAAGAAAAGTATATATCTATTTCTAGCTCTGCTTAGAATGTTATATTTTTTATTTACATGTACAGAAGATTCTGTTGTCTGTATATTCTTGTTACAATTTTCCCCTTAGTTTATAATTGTATTACTCTGATTTTGTATAACAAACTAAAATCTAAAGCTTACCTCATCATATCCCAAAGCAATCAGTTGATTTAAGGACTGCGGTAATACAGTCAAATCCTTATCAAGGCCATTTCCTGATGAAGAGCTGAAGCCAGAACTGACTCCAGAGCTGACCGTGCTCGCAGCTGACGAGCCAGGTGGCTCTGAATTCCCATTATTAGCAAATGGGAGTAGTGAGTTACGGATCTGAGCTAGTGCCTTCTGATGATAGCCGGAGCGAGCGGCCGCCTGGCGGGGCGCCGGCGGGTTCATGGCGCCCGCGCCCGCGCCCGAGCGCCTCACCTCTCACCCCACCCCTCCCATCACACAAGCACACACCACCTTCTAACCACACTCATGATCACTTTTCACCATTCATTTAATATACACTTAAATATTACGCTGCAACTTTTAGTCCAGATGTTCTCAAATTCCTTTATAAATATCCTTCTCACTGTCTGGTTTGTATCATATTTTAATTGTCCAAGATTTCCAAGCTTCTGGTATTAGACTGAAAATTAAATAATTATAATTGTATTATTAAGAAAATATTTGACTTCTTATAAGCATTATTAATAATATAAAATCAAAGACGAAAGTCTTACTGGATTGTTATGTTAGATTTGACATGGACATCATTTCAAAAACAAGAATAACAACAAACCACATAGTATAGCAATCTTCCTGAATAATTACGAGAGATATCAATAAAGGCTCCACAATTTAGAGCTCTACATTAAAATACATTCAGTTAGATCAGCAGGTTCACAAACCAAAAGAATGTTCAACACGAATCAATCATGACATAGTACTGTGGAATGCCAAAATTAGAGTCAGCTTTGTTTCTCATATTAAACTTCATACAGGCACTGCCCTAATATTATATATAATGATTATAATTTACCGGGATATTCCTTAATTTCTGCAAATCCAAATAAGAATCATAAACGTCATAATCCTGCAAAATAAAAATTCTATCGAAGAGCTCTCACATTACCGATGACATCTTTCTTGGGCACCACAAAATATGATTACAATAGCAGTGTTTCTAATGACACGACACAACTATAGAGTTGCATATACTTTTTTCAAAATATAATAATATCAAATGAATTACGAAAACAAAGAACTCTGAAACACAGACATGCAAGTTGGCAAACCATACAAAGCGACCATTTTGAAGAATTACCACATTCTTTTGTATGTTCATAAAAGCTACAGCATAGTGACGTTTACAGATGCTCCGTATTTTATTTCGTTACTATCTTTGTTTTTAAAAAAATACTATACATAATGCATTTTTGTTGGATATGTGCATTTCTTAATAAAATTTAGTTGTGAAATATTTGCATTTTAATTGTGTTTTTTTTTTATAAATTTTGATAGTATTATTTTGCTTTGAAAAATTGGCAATTAGAAGGTTGTAAAAAACTACCAGTAACCATCCGGCATCCATAGTAGGTATAATCTGGGGTAGAAATAGGGAATGACATTTGATGGATTAACAGATCAATCAAATCAAAAAATCAATATACTATCGTGTGAGGGCCGTGCTACAGCATATATGGCCCGGCTTAACCGGAGTAATACCACAGGCTCACAGAAAACCGGTGAAAAGCAATACCTTCCTTGTTTTCATCGAGTGAATTCGGACCTACTTAACGTTTGCCAATTAAATTAGAGTTGTTATATAAACGCAAAGTAGACGCGCCTAAACTATAATTATCTATATCATATGAATGCTACTTCAGGCATGGGACAAAACCACAGTGAAATATGAAAGACCGGTGATTTATCATTCGATTTTTTCGTACGTAAGTTAGGTTACTAACACGTTGTTGCCAATAAGATTTTTTTAGACGATGCAAGACCCTATTTAACAGTAAATATAGGAAATATTTTATTAAATATATTTACCTTTCTTCTTTTTTTTTGTCCGTGTGGTGACGGATTAAGAATACTGAGTATCACCACCCCTATTCATCCCGTGGGTGTCGTAAGAGGCGACTAAGGAAGCAAACTACGCAGGACTACAGCACTGCAGAGAGAAGGAAAACTTGAAACACACCCTATACCAACCCGTCTGGCAAGCGTGGTATAGTAGGCCAAAACCTCCTTTCTAAGGAGAGGCCTATGTCCAGCAGTGGACTAGTAAAGGCTGTTGATGTGATTTACCATTCCCTACATAATAATTAAAAAATACTAGATTTACTGTTAAATAGCGTCTAACCTGCTACCTGGCAACCCTAACCTACGTTCGCAAAAATTGAATGATAAATCACAGTTCACTGTGATTTTGTCCCATGACTAGCTACTATACTCAGATCAATGTCTAAAAATCAATCGATTTCTGAAACATTATAGTAATATGTAGTCTGTGGCAACACACAAAAATTTACTATCAATCACTAATCACTATTCACTCACAGCACAGATTAAGAGAAATGTACATAACTCACAGTACAAACTCACATAGTCTATGGTCTCTATGATTTATGAAAGTGATACAATTTGTTGTGAAGTTTTCATTGGATAATTCGTCAATTTTCGAATTATTTAACACTAAATATATTTTTGTGACTGATAATGTTTATTCCACATATATATGATCGCTGATCATATAAATACCTTGGCAATATTCAAAATATATAGTTATTCAAGAGACGTAGTTTGTGTATAAATATGTTTCGAACTGCAGGATTATTTTATTTGCTATTTGTGCCCTATTATGTTGCTCTGGAGGAAAACTCAGTCTATGACTATAATACCAACAATTTCAAGTATCAAATAGAAGAAATGGATGGCAATTTTGTTATGTTTTATGCACCTTGGTAAGTATTTACAATTCGCTATAATTAATGTTTTTCATAAACCTGGTATTCCCCGTTAAATTATAATATATGATTACATTTATTTATAGATTACGTTACTTTCAGGTGCCGACATTGCACAGAATTTCATCCAATATGGGCGGAATTGGCCGAGCTTGTAAATACAAAAGATTCTAAATTTGCCATTGCCCAAGTGGATTGTACGATACATTACAAACTTTGTAATGAAAATGACATAACAGGTACTTGGAAGACTCCCCACTGTACACTACATAGTATGTAGTATATAGTAGTGTTATACAAATACTACACTACTTAAAACTCCAGAAATTAGTTTAAATTTGATGGTGCCTTTCTACTCTATAGAAAAATTGTATAGATAGTATCTTAGTATGGACAAAACATTATACTAGTGTGATTTTTTTTTATTAGACGGGGGCAGATGGCTCACCTGATGGAAAGTGACTATCACCACCAATTAACGTCTGCAAGACAGGAGTATGCTCTTTTCTTGTAGGTTGTATCGGTCCGGAAATACCGCAGACGATAACTTGTTCCACAGATAGGTTGTGCGAGGCAAAAAATGACTTGAAAATGATGTAAAACTTCTGTTTATATCAACTACTCAGTTCTGCCAACCACCATCCATTATTATAAATTCAAATTCTTTATTTTTTTACACAGTACTTATTGCCGCGAGTGCAATCTTCTGTTATGCATGTTAAATGGCATTCAGTAGGCATGGAACAAAACCACAGTGAACTGTAAAAAACTGGTGATTTATCATTTGATTTTTTCATATGTAGGTCCAGTTTCATGTGTAGCTGTTTTCAGATGAGGCATAAAGAACCTATTTAACAGTAAATCTAGTAATTATTTTACTATATAGCTACAATTCCCTACATAATAATTAAAAAATACTAGATTTAATTAAAAAACACTACATAATAATTTAAAAAATACTAGGCTATGATACAGTTTAGGGGATGCAAAATTTTTTATTATTTATTTATTATTTCCAGGATATCCAACACTCCACTACTACCATAAGAACACATTTACTCCCATAGAGTATAAGGGTACCAGGGATTTACCTTCCCTAACATTATTTTTAAGTGGAATCTTCACAATGAAATCAGAGGTAAAGTTCATTTAACTTATATAAAACATGGAGTATATATATCTATACTAATATTATAAAGCTGTAAAGTTTGTTTGTTTGGTTGAACAAGCTCATCTCAGGAACTGCTGGCTCAAATTAAAATTTTTGTTTAATGTTGGATAGCCCATTTATCAAGAAAGGCTATATAATATACTCTAGCACCAATATGATCCAAGCATGAATGAAAAATGCTGCAAAAATGGAGAAAGTTCATTCCTTTAAAGTTGCACGGGTCAGCTGGTATATATATACACTACTAGATTCCTATAATAGTTGTAAATAGATGCTATATGGGTACACAGGCTTAATAATAAATTGATAGTCTCATCTAGAGCTCAGTTTTTTTAGAGTTCAGCTCAATACTTCTCAGATATTTAAAGAAAATACTCTTAACCTGTTTAATAAGTCACAAGACACTAGGACCGAGGACAAATTGGTACTAATCAACATATTACCATTAATTTACCAAAGTACAAAACTACTTTTCATTGCAGGGTACTAATATAGAAAAAGATTCAACAGAGGTTAAAATATACAGTGGTATGGCATACTTAAATGATCACAATATTGAGAAGTTTGTGTCCAAGGGACAACATTTCATCATGTTTTATGCCTCCTGGTGTAAGGCATCACAGGTAAGAATTTACAACACATTACAATATTAACAATTACAACTTGAAACTAATATATTTAAGATTAGGCTTAAGGGTTATTAGGATTAAGACTTAATAGGCGAGACATAATTTGATTACAGTGCAAATTTTTTGAATCAAATATTATTAATATTACTGTTTTTACCAGAAAACTTTGTTCTGTACTAGTGTAACATTTTAACTACGCATGGGACAAATCACAGTGCACTGTGAAAGATCGGTGATTTATCATTCGACTTTTCGTACATAGGTTAGGGTTCTTACTTACTCACCATTGTTGCCAATAAGTTTTGAGATGATTATAAAGACCCTATTTCGCCTATTTAACAGTAAATCTAGTAATTATTTTATTATATATAGCTACCATTCCTTTCCATTCCAGCATTCATTCATTTTGTCTATGTTAGTCAGTTAAAATCATAATCTTAATATTACATTATTTTACAGTTTGTGTATTTTACATGCTTACATATGTATCTGTTAATTAATAAAGGGTGGCAGTAAGTGTGTTTGCCCTTTGTTCTCATAAGGCTCAACCCCTTAAAAATGTGTGGTTGTAGATTTTAGATACATGCATATTTATTTTTTCTAAATATTAGACAAAACAGAGATTGTTGTGTATTGATCTAGAACTTAGTCTACACAATAGACGATTTAAAATTATTTTAAAATTTTATAAAATAAAAGCACTTACTCATACACAGTATACAACCAAGGTTCCATTTTATATTCTGGAACAATCACTGCTTATTATTTGTATAAGAACAAGGCATTGTGGACTGGAAGGGTGACATTAAACCTGCATGCTTATACTTAGTAATACGATGCATATGGAATAGACTTGCTATCTAAATAAAAATTGTAATATGATTTTATAAAGTTACATGAAAATATATCCATTAATTTAGCTACTCTATGATATCTGGTATGTTTTCAGAAACTAGCTCCTATTTGGGCTGAGCTAGCAGTTCAATATGCACATAATCAGTATATACAGATTGGTAAGGTGAACTGTATGGACAATGAGATGACGTGTAAAACTTTTGATATCAAGCAGTACCCTTACTTGATGTGGATTGTCAATGGCAGAATTGTAAGTATAATGTTTTATATTATAAATATGTCAAAATAACTTTACAGAGAAAACTGTCAGCCAAAGTTCTTTATATCACATGTTTACTAAGCATTCAGCTTTCTAAATGGCTGATCCCATTTTAATAAAATGCATTGCGTTTGAGGTATTCCTATTTAGTTTAGATAATTTCACAGTTAAACCAGGGCCCCGATTTAGTAAAATTGCATACGTCGTACGTACGTTTTTGAAAACATACCGACGACTAAAACTGGTATTCACTAGAGACAAAAGCAAACATAGTTTTGTTGTCTTTGGTACATATTTACTGAAATATTTACTAACTAAAAACGTTCTGAAAGGTCACTAAACTGTTCGGCTTGAACGGTATCTTTCAGTAAAGATTTAGTAATATAAGAATAAATTAAAAATAACATTTGTTTGACAGTAACGAAACCAAAACCTTGTGATGTTGGTGTCCATTTGAAAACATTCACAAAATGTACGTTTTCCTTTAACAGGTTATAGTGAATACCAAAATTAAATTCCGAATTTATTTTACGCGTTCTGAAAAAGCGACGTTACTGAATCGAGGCCCTGGTAGGTTTTGTTTATTTAAGATCTTAGCAGTAGCTTGTCTAGTAGTATTTATTTGTTGAAATCAATGATGAAGCTGAAAGGTTAACTTTTGGATAGGACGTCCAAAATGATCTATTCTAGTTAGTTCTCAGGTGACTTTAGCACTACTGCTTATTAATAAAACATGTAATATATTCCAGATGGGTGTAGCAGATGCAAATAACATGGAGGGGTTGAAAACTTACATTGAGAAAATGTCTCTAACTGAGAATCATGACCCTGAGAAATTTATGAAGAAAAAGAAAGTCTTGCCTGTTGCTAGGATATCAGAAGAAACCTTCGAAACGTTTTTGGAGAAGGAATTAGTATTTATCAACTATTTTGCGCCATGGTAATTATTTCACTACATTATTTATCTACACGTCATTTTAATAGCAATCAGGTCCAAACAAGTTTATGGAAATGGAGAAAAGCTTAGATTATTACTTAAATTTTATGTAAAGCGTCTGTCCGAAATACGGCTAGCGCTGTGGGTTAGAGTGAGAGAGGAGGAGCCTGCCTAGGAGAAAGGGAAGCCAGACAGACTGGCGCCGTAACGCGTTACGTAACGAAGCGGTTTACCCTTCCATTAGCACTTCAAAAAGAATTGTTATCAATTGACATTGTAACAGTAGCCCTGTACACGTCGAAGTCCCTTACGCGCTGTAACAAATCGCTATTATTTCACATTTCTACAAAGGCCTTACTCGTCGCAGTTCATAACTACACCAAAAACTTTACAATACAAATTATGATAGCATCATAAATTAGTGTATGCTGTTCCAGGTGTGCACACTGTATGCAAATGAGTCCACTTTGGTTGAAACTGGGAGAGCGATTCCAGAATGAAACTCGTGTACTGATTGCTGACGTGGACTGCGTACAATCGAAACCAGTATGCGAAACAGAAAAGGTATCCTATTTCTTTACTAATCTATTGTATATTTTGTACTATAGTTTAACCGCCGTAAGCTTGGCCCTCCTGATGGTTTGGGGGACGCGGGGCGGGGGTGCATTCAACCAATTAGCTAGTGCATCGCTGTCCGCCGGCAGTGACTGACGTGAAAGCATGGCTGTACGTGTTATTTTTCTTGACTGCTACACACGATATTATTTTGCAACATGGATAATCTGCCGGCTCTGCGTCACAAAAGGATTTAAAAACTGGAAGTTCGGCTTACAGAGGTTCTACTGTTAAAGTTATAATAAAGAATATTTATTATTTTACTTAATTTTTAAATTGTATCTGAATATAATTTACGGTGAGGTGATTTTATTAAAATTATTTTACAGTATTAAATTTTACAATTAATCATAAAAACTTACAATACACTGACATTATAATACATGGAAATAAATTCGACTTTTATTACATCGTGTGTAGATGTCGTGTCATGTGTAGCCGAGCGCATCATAACATCGCAATCATAATTCAAAGATGGTTCGGGAGTAAGTTTAAAAGATAGAATCTTAGAATATATGATTATACCTGGTACATAATATATACATATCATCATCATCAACAGCCTTTAATAGTCCTCTGCTGGACATAAGCCTCTCCTTAGAAAGGAGGTTTATATATACATATACCTGGATGCAAATACAGAAACCGGAATGTAAAATGGGTTTTTGTCATTATTGTGTAATAAGAGATATTTTCCAAGGTTCCAAAATAAAATGTAATAAAAAAATACAAAATAAAATGAATTTTAGCTTTGGCGTGACTTTTATCAAAGGACATAGTGACAAGTGTAATACCTTTACTGTACACATATTTAATAATAATAATAATATAATATATTCCAATGTTAATATTAAGTCTCTTACTAATAATTTGGTTTTTAGATCAATGGTTTACCAACTCTAATTCTTTACAAACAAAAGAAAATAGTGAACGTGGAACATGGCGGGCGGCCCCTGGAGAGCCTTATATCATTGGTGACTGAGCATCTGCAGGACACAGTAGCTAATACATCACATGAACAAACAGCTAAAGAAGATATCTTAACCAAAGATGAACTATAATGTTAATAGGTAGATCAATAAACAAATTTGTTTAATAACTGTTTTCAATTCCTTTTGGTTTTATTTTATTTTTGTTTACCATGGAAACCAATTTGTTGCTACCTTGTCACAACTGAAGTCAATGTTCGGAATTTGTACCCCCAGTAATCACTGTGGTGTGAGAACTTCTATTGCGGGATGTAGGGTGTACCTACTATTTTTCAGTGTCAACTATGTAATGCACCCAGTACCACTATAATCTTACCTGAAGGCGATACCTTACAAAGGTTACAATTCGATAGTAGATTGTTTATTTGCCAACTTAACAACTAATGTGTGTTCTCAGCAAGTTCAAATTACCTTAACAGGCAAACATTAGAAGAAGTGGCAAGACTTAATTAATTTCTGCTCAAATTGGAGATCTCTATAACTTATGCAATGTAATAACGTTTTACTGGTCAATCATTTAAAATAGGACTTTTAAGAGAACAGTGATGAACAAGCAGAGGTATGTAATACCCTAAATAAGAGATCGCGTTACTTCCCGTTAAAATAATATTAATTAGTGATGAACAAAATTAGAATACTAGTTAACTTAAACTCTAGTACATATTTAACAGCGAGATTATATAAAAAGAAATCAATATTAGGAGTTGTACTCCTAGGTAAGGTACATTTATTTAAACTTAAACACAATAATCACATTTTCAAGCAGATAGAATATTGCATGTGATGATTTGATGATGCACTTGTCAGTGAACAGGAACTATATAAGGAAGTGAGTCACAATACAGCTAAAAGTGTTTTTTCTCTACAGTTTGAGATTGAAAGAATGATCCGTCTGCTTGCGTGGCTGCTCTATTAATTTGCTTGTGTCTGTCTCTGGACACAATCTCCTCTAACACTTCTCCATCACCTTTAATTAACCTGAAAACAATACACACTGAGGGAGGGTAATAATAAATATGCTGTAAATCAGCTGTTCTTATAACATGGGTGTGATCTGGATATAATGTCTATAAAGCTTCTATGTTAGTTTCAAACTAAGCAGAGCTTATACAATAAAAGGTAGATTGATTGATAAAATACTTTTATACTTTTTTTTGTAAATACATACATAATATACATAAAACATCCAAACTCCGAAACAAAGATTTGCAGATCATACAAGAGCACTCAGAACATTGAAGCTGCTAATTTGTATTGTTTTCGTGGTGGAAAGCTGTTCAACAAGATATTCAAAATTGTGAACGAAGCCGTTTTGAAGACCTTGATGCCAAACGCCAGCTTCGAAAAACTCGTCCTAAGCCCTCCTATAATTACACGTACAATACCCGTGGTGAGCTTCACTGTGTCTCATGTGACCATGTATTCACAACCAAATTCGGTTTTGCGAGTCACGTATGAGCGTAAACGGAGCTGTTGAAAGGTGACAGGACATCATACGTATTGTTTACGAAGATAGATTTTAATTCTCAAATGTAATGTCCTTCAGTGTACAATGTCTAGGGGTTGAAGTTGAATATAAATTTAACAAATATTTTCGCTTGGTTGGTCTAAATAGGGAGTGTCTAAGGACCTATGGGGTTCCATGCGGGGGGATCAAGTAAAAAGTACGAAACATTAGCGCCTTTGAAAGCATGTCAAGCCGACGGTTCTAGTTGCCTTACAAACATCTTTGGCAATCGTAAGGGGTAGTATGAGACCTAAAAAGTCTGATAACCATCTATCTACAGAACTTCGATATTGCCTAGTACTTGGGTATTGGAGGTCTGATAGCACACTCCAGGTTAAAATTAAAGTTCAGCCGTATTGTAGAAGACTAAATGCCGACCCCAACCAAGTTTGGGAAAGAAAGGGAAAGGAAGAAGTTTGTAAAGTTACATTATTATTAAGACACTAAACCAAGGATGAACAAAGTATGTTGGTGTATTAATTAAAAAAAAATTCAAACCATCCACAATATTCAACAGACATAAAGCAAATGTTTTTAAACACTTGTGATAAAATCAGATTGTAAAGGGAATAGATTTTGCACTCTACTACTTAAGTAGTTAAAAATAGGTAATGTTAGTAAGTAAAGGCACTAAAGAACCACATGTTTTAAAATAATGGAAAACAGAATGATAGAATAACCTGTATCTTCCAGATTCTTCATCCAGTACTTTTCTAACAATACTCTGCCTCTTCTCCCACTCTTCTTTGGTCATTGGTGCCATGGCTTTTGACTTTTCCATAAGTTCTACATTGAAAAAAAAATAGATTCATAGATAAACATGTAAAAGCGTAAAATATTATATATAATAGGATATATATAAAATAATATAATATCATATTTTTAATTATGCCAATTACACTAAATATTTCAATTCTATTAGGTACATAGAAGTATTTATTTATGATATGGAAACATGTTATCAAAATAGCCTAGTTTCAGTAATGTTTTACTAATTTTAGAGAGATACCTAAAGGAATGTCGGTTGAAGCATTGTCTCCCTTCACATTACTGTCATCACGAGTCCTGCTCCTACTTTTACTCCTGTGCTGCTTCTTCAACTTTCTCTTCTCTTCTTTCAATTTCTTTTTCAACGCTTTTTCAGTCTTCTTTTGTTCCTTCTTAAGTTTTTTCTTTAACTTGCGCAGTTTCTTTTTTTCGCGCGACGAATCAGAGCTACTTGAGCTAGAACTACTTGAACTTGATCTTCTACGTTTTTTAGATTTTTCCTTGCCCATGTTCGAATTCAATTTTTTCACATATCATATCAAAATGTGAATAAATTATTTACATTTTCTGCAAATTAAATAGCGGCAGGTGAATCGAAATTGCTCTGACAGCTGACAGTTGACATATTTATTTTTATTCTTGTTTATGTTTTCGCACTAGGAAAAAGGAAACTAAAATACTTTAATAAATACAAGCGAATACCAGGCTTACAAAACGGATTTCAAAATTATTTGGATCATTCGCTAATTGAAGTACTGCATTATTAATCATGTTTATTGAAAATATAACTTTTTTTGATGTATTAACAAATGTTTAAGTTTGCCGGTAATCTTATTAGATTTGACTCCTAAATGCGAATACTATACATTTATGGAACGAAGTTCCTCTGAGCGGATGGGAGCGAGACCGAAAAATGTCTAACAAGACTTTTTCGTTTTTTTTTATTGTGGAAAACAACAACAAGGTAATCTTTTTTAATCTTATTCATTAAATTAAGCTTTAAGACTTAATGATAACGATCTTAAGAGGTAACTCACGTTACCTTCTCTACTTGAAAAGTAGGAGTATGTAATGGATATTAAATTAAACCTTATTTAGTGTTGAGTATGGACTTCTCATTGATCAGAGGAGTCGTAACTCCTTCATAGGGTTGGCAAGTCATCAAAATTTTGTAATATTGTTTGGATATAAAGATAATTGGCAAACGAGCAGATGGCTCATCTGGCAGTTATTGGTCAACTCAAACTCAAACTCAAACTCAAACTTTCTTTATTTCATAAAATTTCCAAAATTGTTTGAAATCGTCTTCCATGTAGACTCTAAAGTCATAGATCAACACACACAAAAGCAACAATCTCTGTTTTGTCAAATAGTAACCAAATAAATTTAACAAAAATCAAACCCATACAAAATCTATGATATGCCTGTGCCGATCTACAACCGCCCGTTTCCAAGGGGTTGAGCCTTATGAGAAGAAAGGGCAAACAAACTCATGGCCACTCTTTTGCAATTCACAAGTAGATACAATGGCACTATTAAATATATCACAACATTGTTTTGATGTGTGCTAGTATGTCCGTTATTAAGGACTTAAAGGTGAAAAAACAACAAAGAGAAAACAAGATTAAGAAGAACAAACGAATACAAGAGAAAATGAAGTGAAACATAAAAAATAGAAAAAATAATAATAATAAAAAACATACTAGCCACACCACATTTTTACTTAAGAAAGAAATAGCCTGCGCTAATTAATCCCAAGCATTCTTGTCCTCCATGTAATCCACAATCGAGTAGTAGGCCCTCTGGCACAAGCCACGTTTTATTGCAGATTTAAATTTGTTAATACTCAACTCCTGAATATTATTTGGGATTTTATTATAAAATCGGACACATTGACCTCGAAAAGACTTGTTTATCTTTTGGAGCCTAGAGGCGGGTACAACAAATTTATTTTTATTTCTGGTATTTATGGCATGTACATCACTTTTTTTCAAAAATCTATCTTTATTTTTGTGAACATATATTACATTTTCATAAATATATTGACTTGCCACTGTCATTATATTTATTTCTTTAAATTTCTGCCTCAATGAACAACGATTGCCTAAATTATAAAGTGCTCGAATAGCTCTCTTTTGCAGCACAAAAATAGTTTGAATGTCGGCAGCATTCCCCCACAGCAGAATACCGTACGACATTATGCTATGAAAGTAACTGAAGTAAACAAGTCGTGCTGTATCAACATCAGTCAACTCTCGGATTTTCCTTACTGCGTATGCTGCTGAGCTGAGTCTACTCGACAATTTATCAATATGTGGGCCCCACTGTAGCTTAGCATCTAGTGTTATACCTAAAAATGTCGTAGTGTCCACAAGGTCCAGCCCGACATCCTTAATTATCACAGTAGTTTTCACTGGCTTGACGTTTGGCATAGTGAAACGTATACACTTAGTTTTTTGTTCATTTAATAGTAAATTGTTGACATCAAACCAATGAACCACTTTCGAAATGGCGCTGTTTACAAATGTGAAATCAGAAAGGGTCCGTTTTAGTCTAAATAATAGTGATGTATCATCTGCAAACAACACAATCTCGAGATTGTCCTTGACAAAGTGAGGTAAGTCGTTAATATATACTAAAAACAAAAAAGGGCCGAGAATAGAACCCTGTGGAACGCCCATTTCTACCACAGAGCCTGGAGACCGCTCACCATTAATATCAACTTTTTGAATCCTATTACATAGATATGAGGCAAGTAGTTCCAGGGCTTTATTTTTGATACCATAGTGCTGTAACTTCCTGATCAGCGTTTCATGAACAACACAATCAAAAGCCTTAGATAAATCGCAAAAGATACCTAGAGAATCGTGGGCATCCTCCCAGGCATCAAATATATGTTTTACTAGCTCAACACTAGCATCAGTTGTGGAGCGACCCCTTGTAAAACCAAATTGTCTATTGTGCAATAAATTATTATTATTAAAAAAACTGTGCAATTGATCATACATAATTTTTTCAAAAAATGTTACTAAATACTGGTAGTACTGAGATAGGTCTAAAGTTAGTTGGGTCAGATGTACTACCAGATTTGAATAAGGGAATAATTTTACTAGACTTCATAAGATCAGGAAATACACCACTATCAACACATTGATTAAATGTAAATGACAATTGATTAGCCACAAGAGATATAATTGTCTTAGTAATTAAAACAGAATTTCCCCATAGGTCGGTTGTTTTTTTAACATTAATAGAGTTAAAGGCTTTAATAATTTCAAAGGGGGACACATATTGGAACTTAAATTCACTATCAATTCTTCTAACATTCTCTTTTAAAATTGATTCTGCAAGGTATGGTGAGGAGTTCAAAGATTTAGTAGTTGATACAGGAATGTTAGTAAAAAAAATCTCAAATGCAGCAGCAACCTCAGCATTTGATGTGATAAATTTATTGTTTATGTTTAAATTAAATTCATTATCACGGTTTTGATCTTTGCCAGTTTCACTATTAATAATTTTCCAAGTGGTTTTAATCTTATCATTACTTTTTCTATTCTTTGAACTAATAAAACGAGACTTAGCCAGTTTACAAAGTTTCCTAAACAGCTTCGAATATTCTTTAACATAATTATGAAACTGTTCACTTTTATTATAATTCCTCTCATCGTATAGCTCGTATAATCTTTTCCTACTTTTGAGTAAGCCAGGGGTAGCCCATTCACTAAAGCCCAACGCCCATGATGTTAGGTGATATTAAGAATGGTCTCGTAATATCACCAAACATTTCTCCGTAAATTTCTAATAATCCAACTTGCGGAATACACATTGTTTTTTTTTCTGTAAGAAAAGAAGACTGTTGACTGTTATTTCAATATTTATTATTTGTGATAAAATGATTTGGTGTCATTATGATTGTTTAACTTATACAATCATTATATTTTATATAATTAATTATATAAGTATAGTATAAGTCTTGTGTGTTGTTGTTATAAGTATTTGTCGAGTTGAATGTGGACTGTTTTACGTTATTGTCGTTTTGATCTTGGCAACAATTGCAAATACGAACTACTTATTTTATAACACACCTATAGGTATTTTATTTTTCTAGTACCTATATATATATTATATATATGCATCGTACAGATTAAGTCTGTAACTATACAGGTAGGTACCTCGAGTACCTGTACTTAAATATAATACAAAACTATTTTCTGTTATGTTTTGGACAACTAACGGATTTGTTGATCTCATAATAACATAATGTCAACAATTTTCATAAGATATAACAATTGATATTTGTCACAAGAGTTACTTTCTTACCAAACCGTCTACTACAACTATACAAAAATGGCAAATTATGCACAAGATAATTCTTGATTGCGGTGGGTGACACGACATGGGAGTCCCGATGAATAATTAAAGCAGTTTGACGCATGCGCGAGACGCTAGACGTAGCCCCTGGCGGCGCATCTACTTGAAGCTCAGTGCAGCGACACTCGCCCTCCAGTGTCAAGTAAAACAATTATTTTCGATCGTTCGTATGCTTAGCGTCGATTTTTATACATGAGAAACTGTAGTTATGAAAATGCGTGAAATTACATTATCATAAATTTTGTGGATGTTAACGTTTAATACAGGGATTTAAGTGTAAACGATGCAAGCCGGGGGGCCAGATAGCGCAGCGGTCTCTGAGGCCCCCAGCAGCGGTAGTGAGGATTCGGACTGTGAGCCTGGTCCTGAAACTGACGCAGATGCAGCCCTTACTGAAGAATGGGCCCGAGAGCTATTGACTGGTGCGGGCGTGGTCGCACCTTACGAGGTCTATACTTTTAATTACTAGTTCTAATAATTTATATATTTTCGGACTCTTCTTTATTGAGCATACACAATATTTTTTTATGATTCCTTGCCAGTGATAAACAATTATTAAAATTAAATTATATCTTGCTAACTATTTCTTCTTGTGGCATCAATAAATAGATACCTTCTACTGCATATGCAATTACCTAGATCTAACTATAACAGAATTCACGTAAACTACTATTTAAAATGAATTAGGGATTCATGCTGCCTTGTAGAATTTGATGACGGACGTAAATGTACAAAAAATATACATGGTACGTGTATAACAATGTTTCATCATCACATCAACAGCCTTTACTAGTCCACTGCTGGACATAGGCCTCTCCTTAGGAAGGAGGTTTAATACTAACAATGTTTAAACAATGTTTTTATACTCTTTTTTGCAACCCTGGCAACGTGTTTGCAAATATCCCGATGATCCGTTCGGTACATAAGGAGTAAGGTGCATTTACTGTACGTAATTTCTGAAGTCAATTTTTTTTAGGGTCTGTAAAAACCCTGGTCTATAAATAAAGTATTATCTATCTATCTAAATATAGTATTAGTTTCGATAAGGATTTACACCTAGGTACAATATAATATTAACACTACTACTCTACTGCTTCGTAGCTATTGTGAGATTCACTTTCGCATTCTTTCTCATCTTTGCCAGGTACATGTGGAGTCACGAGCAGGAGTAGCAGGTGCTCTGAGCCGTGTTTTGGCTGTGACAGTCTGTTATGAAAGTAATGGGGAGTGTAGATCAATGCCCCTTGTCGTCAAATTGCCGCCCAGAGATCCTTTTGGGCGATTATTTGTGGCGGAGGCACAGTTCGACACCAGAGAGATTCTGTTCTACACTGAGTTAGCACCTGCTCTTAACAAGCTCGCTGAGGAAGCCCTAGGCCCTGGTTCAGGATTAGCTATACCCAAATGCGTGAAGGCCAGACTGCCTGGTGAGTACCAATCTCTAAAGAACATTCACAGTTAACATTCACGAATTCATTTGTATGCAACGCTCGTCGAATTTGAGCCATTGACTCAATGAATTTATTTTTATCTTTTCAAGGTCTTTGGACATTGAAGATGTAGCTCTAATATCTGTTATGTCCGATTCCGTATATTAGACACTGTGAACAGTTTAATGTTTTACAATTACATTCAATCCCAAAATAGAAAGTATAGGTGAAAGTACAAGTATAGGTTTTAGGTATTACACACTATTAAACTTTTATTTAGACACGTTTAAAATATTTAATTTGTAAAATATTCTTTATTGGGTTACAATAAGGCGTAAATGTACCTATCGTAATATTACGATAAGTATATTGCTATTATAATATTATTAAAAAGTATAAATATATACAATAGGATATATATTTATAGTTTACTAGCATAACTTCGTCATTTTTCATTGATACACATTTATATATAGCCTGTATCTTTCCTCGCTAAAAGGTTTATCCAACACTAATAATAATAATAATAATAATCTTTATTGTTATAAATAACCTTTAACAGTTTTCTTATATATATACACATAAACGTACAAGCATCTTAACAATTAAAGGTCACACCAATAGAGTAACCCTAACTCCCAAACTAGGTGTTCCTGTGACTTGGGAGTTAGTGTTCTGCTGTTATAAGAGACAGATTGTAGGCTAAGAGGTTAGAAATATAATGCGGTGTGTGTGTGGGTGTGTATGGCTGCGTGTGTATGAGGGTGTGTGTGTGTGTGTGCGGGGGCGTGTGTGTGTACGTGTGCGTGTATGCGAGCATGCGTAGGTAGGTGAGGGCATATGCTTACTGCTGGAGTTGAAGTAGTCCTTCAGTTTGTACATAGTCTAGGGTTTGTAAAAATGCCATTGTTTTATTTTTCACTTCGCGAGGTGTTAAGCCACTAATAGGAATAGCTTTATATATTTTTTTGTAAATAAAAGTACTATTGACATAAAATCGTCGACCGGCGAATGCAGTTTTGTGGTTTTCCACACTGCATAAAACTCTTCTTGTACGCTTTGTGTCATCTGGTGGGGGAACTTGAGTATGTTTTTTAAGGGTTGCTTGGAGCACAAATAGTTTTCTGACGGAGAGAAATTTGCTATCTGCATATAATAAATGAGTCGGATACCGAAATGGTTTACCAAGTATTACCTTCAGGACCGCTCTTTGTGCTCTCTCTATTTGAATGAACTTAGTTTTGGCGGCTCCACCCCACACTGGTATGCAGTAAGTGATAACGGATTGGCAGATCGCTAGGTATATCATTCTCATAGTATCCATATCTGCGCAGTATCTAAGAGATTTGAAAATATATACAAGTTTCCTAATTTTTAAAACGGTACTGTCAATATGATCGTACCATTTCAATCCGCTATCAATCACTACACCCAGATACTTTATATGATTTACACAGGTAAGTGCCTCACACGAGCAGTGGACAGGATCAGAGCATGTATGAACCCTTATCATAAAGTCTGTTGCAATTTTATTCCTATTGTTAATACAGAAAGGCATAAAGTTTGTCTTACTTACATTCAGGGTTAACAGATTTAGGCAAAGCCAGTGTGCAACAGTTTGCAAGGACTTCTCTGCAGTGGTTCGGACCTCTGTCCACGTATCACCATAGATAACAATCGCGGTATCATCCGCATAAGTAAGGATATTTGACTTTCGCAACGGCAGAAGACATAGGTCATTAATATAAATTTGAAAGAGTGTCGGCCCAATCACACTGCCCTGCGGAACACCATACGTAACAGTTTCTTCATCACTTATACATGAACATATTTTAACAACTATTTTTCTATTTTGAAGATAATCCTTAAAAAGGTCTAGGGGTTTTCCACGTATACCTATTGACTCCAGTTTCATAAGAAGGGTGGGGACAGAGACCGTATCAAATGCTTTTTTCAGATCAATAAAAATACCAAGGCATTTTTGTTTTGCGTCTAATTTTCTTGCTACATGCTCTGTTAGATCTAAGACTGCATCTTGAGTAGAAACCCCTTTTTTAAATCCATATTGATTGGGAGCTATAATATTGTACTTCTTAAGGTAGTTAGCTAGTCTTCCGTTAATTAGCTTCTCCATTACCTTAGAGAGGGCTGAAAGTACCGAAATAGGCCTATAGTTGTTGATGGAGTCTCTGTCCCCGCCCTTGTGGATCGGATGAATGAGCGCTTTCTTAAAAGGTTCCGGAAATACTCCATTTGCTATTGAAGTGTTTATGATGTGAGTAATGAGGGGAACAAGAGTATTCTTACATACCCTTAAGAGCAAGGACGGTATGCCATCACAGCCCGTGGCACTGTCGTGCCTAAGGTTCATAATGGTGGACTCTACTTCCGACTCATCTACTTCAAGAATTACGAAGGAGCTACTATGATTGCTTTTATTTAGAGGCAATTGTGACATTTGGCGGGGGATTTTTGCTGCTAAGTCGGAGCCAATCGTAGGAAAGTATTTGCAAATACTATTTATGGCTATTTTCAAATCAGATTTGCTGTCGAGCAGTTCCGTAGGGGGTGCACATGTCTTTTTTGTATTGGTGATATCCTTGATTTTTTTCCATAGTGCCTTTGTATTATGTTTTGCTTTATCCAGTTCGTGTTTATCATGTAGGTTTTTGAGTTTTTTAAGTAGACTGTTGCAGAAATTACGATATCTTTTATAGGTTGTTAGTATTACTGGGTTATTAGGTGACATTCTAGCTTCTTTATGTAGTTTATCGCGGTGGCGTATACATCTTAACAAACCTGGGGTAATCCACGGTTTTAGGTTTCTATTTATTTTTTTAACATGTACAACTCTTGTGTTTGCACTTACAATGTTTTGTATTGCAGTAACTAGAGCGATGGTAGCTTTAGTAGGATCCTCTGAAGTCATGATGTGACTAAAGTCATGGTGCTCAATATCGTACTTGACCTTATCATAGTCTATGCTGGGAATTTTAAAAACAGGTAACGTTCCTTTGACCCACCTAACAGTCTCGACTGCAACAAGTAGTGGGAGGTGATCTGTAATATGTGAGTCTAAGACAAGCACAGTTGAGTTTTTAATAGTTTTAAGGATTACATGATCTATACACGAATTTGATCTGGTTGGGAAATAATGTGCAGGAAGAAGACCATGGGTAGCATTAAGAGTAAGATAGCTGGCAGAGCGTTCATTTGTACTAGAAGGTGTTATGTCTATATTAGTATCACCAATGAGACATATATTATCGTACTTGCTAACCGAGCTTAGTACATTATCCAGAGTGTTCAAAAAAAGATCGAACCCTTGGTTAGAACAGCTCGAAGGAGACCTATAAATGGCAATTATGGCTAGTTTATTTCCAATTCTGCAAGTAAGGGAACTGCCATTCATAAAGTCTGGTTCCTCAACTGTGTACTGTATTTGTTTTTTTATATAAATTACTACCCCATCATTTTGGTTTTTCGGTTTTTTTTGTGTGGTGACAGTTGTATCCATCCATTACTGGTAGGTCAGCGATTTTACTAAGCCAGCATTCGGTTAGAATGACAACGTCGCAATCAACTTCAAGTAAGGTGAGTAGTGTTAATAATTCGTCAAAATTCTTTTTAATACTGCGTATGTTAATGTGTACAATAGTCGTAGAGGGGCCGACACCACTAACAAATTTCTTGCATTCAATTGGATTACACGTGTAAGCTTTCGCGACATCTATATTGTCTAATTCAGACAAGATATTATAAACTGAGGTAGCCATTTGTAAGGTTGTATATCCACAATTTGTGAGGCATTGCTGATGGTAGGATAGGTATTCGTTTAGGAGTCAGCTGGCTATTATAAATTTTATCACTAATTTCAGCAGGCTGTGTGTGAGTAATGTATATGATATATAATGAACGTCTGTGCGTGTGTAGGATAAATGTTTGAGTTTGTAGATTAGTAGTAGCAGTCGTGTACTTTTTTTGTATATATGACGGTTTGATAGCAATGTCACTTTTCTTTTCAGGTTTAGCAATGTAAGATTGTGTTATTAGTGTGTTTGTGGATTTTAGAGGTATATGTGTATTTGTGTGTAGATTAGTGTTTGTTATCTGACTTAAAATAAAGTACTTAATAAAGCAAAAATATTCATCATGCAGTATACAAGGAATGACGCAGTAGTTATGGTAGATTATGACTTGGCAGTGTAGTAGTAGTCATTTACTGTCTTGGAGCTCCTGGAGGGTAGTTTCGGATTTAATCAGTATTTGTTTATCCCCCGGTTGTTTCCGTATAAAGATTCTGCCATTAGATGACCAACAAAATTTGTAATCATGTTGTTTTGCAAATTGCCTGCATAAATAAAATAGTTTCTTCACTGAGGAACACAAGTGTTCGTCCACATACACAGGATGCTTTTGCCCAGGGAGCCCTATGAGTTGTGTATTAAGCTTATGGTCATTACTTTCATGTTTAATATTAAATTTACGTACTCGGGATATAAGTTCTGTCTTTATTTGTACACTTGTGAGTTCGGCTATTATGGCTTTGTTGGGTGAATTTCCCGGGGCACGATAAACATCTCGGATTGCCGTAGGTGATATTGGTAGATCAACGGTGCTCCCAATATTCGTTATAATATTCGTGAGATCAGCAGCCGACTCATTTGGTTTTAATGGTACATTACGAACCTCGATAGTTGAAGAGCGTGACTGGTATTGAAGATCTCGTACAGTCTTTTCTAAAACTTCTGTGTATTTTTTGTAATTTCTACATTCACTTTGCAGCAACTTCACCTTGTTATTCATATCATCATACAATTCACTGATGGTAGTAATGGATTTTTCTATCTCTTTATTTGACTTCTGAATGTCTAGGTTTTGTTGCTTTAATTCAGTAACTTCAGTAACAAGTTTTGCAACTAATGATGTTTGTTCCGCCAAAGCCTTCGAAAAGGCGTCTTCGTAATCGCGCTTCCAAGTTGTCAGCATTTGTTTGATTTCGAGCTTAAAATCATCTAGGTAGCTGGTGTGGGAATCGTCAGTCCTAAGTCGTTTGTAACGTGTTACATTGATAAGTTCTGGGTCACTTATGGCTTGAGTTATGTTTGGGACTGACTGCGATTGATCTACTGTTGTCGTAGACGGGAGTTTTAATCCTTTTTTAGGCGAATGTTTTACAATCGACATAGTGATAATAAACGATTACCTTTAAACACTTAGTGGTATGAGTCGAACAAAGGACTCGTTTCGTAGCCGATAACCAACACGTCGATCGACCGCAATCCGTAGCAAAGTAAGGTGTCTATCGTAGCGTAACTTACGCGCGTAGCACTGCGTCGCAGCCGCACGCCGTAGCCGACGCTAGTTCTTATGTTGTCCTCTATTACGAGATAACGCGCAGTGTCGTGTTGGCCTGGCGCGGGCGTCAACTCACCCCACGCACGCGTCCGGGGATCAAAACCCACCAATTATTAGATGCGATCACTGTGATATTACAAAGTAGACGCAAGGAAATAATTTGTCTCTTTCTTGACACTCCCAAAAGGCGTGAACCTTACATTTATTCACTTAAAGTCAGACAGAGAATTAAAATTACACTAATCAACCAATAAAGCACCAGTAAGGAGCAGATATCGCACACACGACCGCACTCGACAACAGCAATGAGCAGAATCCTACACTAAAATCATTTTTCAATTTGAACCCGTAGATCCTGACGAACATAGATACAAACTCACAAACTTTACCTCTCTATAATGTTAGCATCATAGAAATCGTAATAATAAGACATATACCTAAGGCACAGAAGTCTTATTATTACGATTTCTGTGGTTAGGATAGATCTCTCACAGTCTTCTGTCTCATTCACTAATTTATTTCTAAAAAAAAGCTGTTGGCTTTTTTCAAATTATCTTTTATACAAACCTTGTCCTGACAATAACCAACAAAAAAAAAAAAGAATAATTCGAATTGGTGCAGTTCTTCGGCAGGTATGCTCGTGTATACATTTCAGATACTGATAGATGACATGTAAATAAAAATAAAACAGTTATAATTTCACATGTATCACCATATACTTGAAATGTACATTGGCTTATTTCAGTGGCCATTATCAGTTGAACCCTCATTGTATATCTTTCCAGCAAGCGGGATAGCCGTTTTATGATTGTAACTACATAAATGTAAAAGAATTTCTATACATATATAAACTTTAGGAGTTTCTAATTTTACGTTCCAAAGTTTGCAAAATTTTCTTGAAGATACATAGAAAATGAGTCAATGCAGTTCTCCCACTTGACTCCTCACCTTTGTGCGTCATACGTGACACTGCCGGCCTTTCATCCCTCCCCTCTTGCTTCAACGACCTGCTTTCTAGTTTATTTTTTACTGTCACAAAATTTAGGTCAGTTTGTTGGAGATAGATGTTGGACTCATCTCATGTTAAACTACAAATGTTTACGAAGTATTAAAGAGTGCGACTTACAATCGCGTGGTAGCAGGTTCGCACTACCCTTGATGTTCCATCGACATATACCCCAATACTAGTAAATACCGGTAACATTGATCTTAACTAAACCGTGATCCAAGTTACCTACTAGTGTTTTACTTGAGATTTTGTTTTTTTATTTTGTGTTCCTAACTTGAAAATGACGAACTTACATACAACCATTCATCCCATTTTAGTCCCTTAGGAGTGAAATTTCAAAAACCCTTCCTTAGTGGATGCTTATAACATAAAAAAAAGCTGTCAAAATTTCAAATTTGTATCCCCAGCGGTTTAGCCTCTGCGTTAACGAATCAATCAGTCAGGACAAGTTAATCTTGCACTTATCCATAAATGACGGGCCTGTTGGTCTAGTGGTTAGTGACCCTGACTGCTAAACCGGACGTCGTGGGTTCGATTCCCACCCAGGACAAATATTTGTGTGATGAGCACGATTGTTTGTTCTGTGTCTGAGTGTAATGTATTTAGAAATATATAAGTATGTTTATCAGCAGTCTGGTTACCCTGCCTGTACGACTTTGCCTAGTTTGGGATCAGACAGCCGTATGTGTGATGTGTGAGGTTATTATTATAGGTTATTATTATTGTTGCGACATAGGATTAAATGGTTCGATTGTTCCAGAATTGTATGGAATGTCAAGGACAGCGCCATCTAGTATCGAGTAAAGTACATCTATTAAGATTGTGGTGAATAATTCTGGCATATTCTTGTTTGTCTGGAACGGACTAACGAATACTAGGGATCTTTCTAGTAAATTCGATAGCGCTATAAAAGCGGAGTGTGTTGGCCGTTCGAGACAGTATCGTTTTATGACACAGCGAATTAACATCGGAGTGAATTTCTAGTGCGATTAATGAGATATAAAGTGATTTCTAGTTTATTATAGTGAGTGTTAGTAAATACAGTGCAATAGAAGTAATTAACTGACAACTTTTATTTATTGTATACCCCGCTCGTAACATTACTATAAATTAAAACTTATAATTTCACAAACACGATCCTCTGACCCAAAGTAGACAGATCCTGTACTATGGTAACCAGATTACACGATAGACATACTAACAGGTATATATTTCTAAAAACATACATATTACAGATAAATTATATACCCAAACGCGAAACAATGTCCGTGTTCATTACACTATTTGTCCTAGGTTGGAATTGAACCCATGATCTCTGGCTTAGCTGATCACTAATCACTCGACTAACCAGGAAACGTCATTTAGGTAGTCAGGTGGCCCGTCTGCTCGCCTGCCCCCTCTTCCGTAAAAAAAATAATGAGGTGTAACTGCGAAGAAGTATACTATTTATAGAATTAATCTTTTTTTTTATTCAGTGGCAGAAGGCCTATTGCAATGGTAATTTTTTGTTTTAAATCGACTGTCTCGGTGGCGCAGTGGTAGCGTATGCGACTACTGTGCTGCTGTGTCTCGGGTTCGATACCCGGGTCGGACCAAATGTTTGTATGATCTGCAAATATTTGTTTCGGAGTTTGGGTGTTTTCTATGTATAATAAGTATGTATTTGTAAAAAGTATTTAAGTATTCTATGAGTCAATGTAGCTTTCATAGTACAAGCTTTGCTTAGTTTGAAACTAGATGGCGTAGTGTCAGATGTCCGAAATATTGTTATTATTAATTTAATTAACAACAAATAACTATAACCAGAAGTATATCTCTTATTATCTCTCTGAGTTACGCACCTAATTTAGATATAAAATGGCAATATGATTTAAAAGGAAAAGAGTTAAGATTGGAAAAGTTTCAATTATTCAACAATACTTGCTTAAGGACACGCTAGTCGAGGTGTGATCAATGATTAGGCGCGCATTGGTCACACATCGACTGCACGCGAAATGTAAAATTAATGAGATATTATCTATACTAACCGAAGATACTAATCTATGCTAATATTATAAAGCTGAAGAGTTTCTTTGTTTGGTTAAACGTGCTAATCTCAAGAATAACTGTTGCAAATTGAATCAAATTGAATTGTTTCAAATTGAAGTGTTGGATAGCCCATTTATCGAGGAAGGCTCACGGCTAGCATAACATCACGCTAGGACCGATAGGAGCCGAATATCAGTGAAAAATATTGCAAAAACGGGAATTTTTTTTATCCCTTTTGAGAGACGCAGACGAAGGTGCGAGTGTCACCTAGTTTAGGACATGTGTTTGTGAAAATAAAAAAGATGTTAATTGAAAACTACTACTAACTACTTACCTACCAATTCGTTGTATCCGAAATTTTGTTCGTTTTAAGTTGATTTTTTAGTCTTATTAATGAGTTTGTAAGAGTTACGAGACAAAATCAGAGACATCTGATGTTGTCTCGTAACTTTTACTTTTACTGGTGTTAAGCTTTGTTAAGCTTATAGCGATGCTTTTTTAAATAATCAAGATTTTTTTTTAGCCTTTAACATTCCACTGCATGAAATAGGCCTCTCCTTAGAAAATATGTTTTGGCCAAATATTACTAACGCTGGCCAGAAGGGTTGGCATGGTACAGGGTTTTGTGAAGTTTTCCTTCTCTTTGAAGTGCTGTTGTTCTGTGTAGTTTACTCTCTTAGTCGGCTCTTACTACACCCACGGGATGAATAGGGGTGGTGACACTCCAAATTCTTAATCCGTCACCTCACAGATATATTTATTTTTTAATTATATTTAAATATAAAAGTTGAACATCCTTATAAAGTTCTGGTCAATTAAGTTATTTTACCTCTCTTAAACCTAACTCACTTACCCGTGAATCTGTTTTATTAAGAATAAACTGACAATATTCCATAATTTTACAGATGAAATTGGAGGTGACAGCGAACTGGTTCTAGAAGATGTCACATCAGTTGGCTATGAAGCTGCTGATTTTGCTGAAGGTTTGACTGAAGAACGCGCCCGTGCAGCATTGTTCGCTGCGGCTAGGTTACATGCGCTCTCCTTAGCACTGCGCGATAGAGAAGGACCTTTAGATGAAAGGTTTGATTTCCTATTTCCATGCGAAAGAGCTGCAGCAGGTTACCTCCGTCTTGTGCGGCGTGGCCTTCCACAACTTGAAGCGTTCTTAAGAGGACGTCAAGACTGCATTGAAGAAGCTGCTGCTGTATCAGCTTTAAGTGCTAGGGCTCCTTCGTTACTTGGTACGTTGTTAAGACCAGCTGAACCAGCGCCACTCGCACATGCAGATTTTTGGAGCGGAAACCTTCTATTCCGAGAAAAAGATGGAGTCAGTGAATGCATAGCTTTAGACTGGCAAATGGTTTCTTTGGGAAGACCAATGGATGACGTGGCGCTTTTGCTGTTATCGTCGTTGACTCCAGAGATGAGAAGAGCAGTTGGTGATAATCTAATAGAAGAATATGGTGATCGTTTGGAACTTGAATGTGCTCGACTGGGGGTGGCTTCTGCTGGCAGTACTGTGAGACGTGCCCTGAGACCAGACTGGCCAAGAGCAGCACTCAGAGCGCTTCTGCTATGTGCAGGAAGCGTTGACGTAGCGTTAGGAGAACCTAGAGCTGAGAGACGCTTGCTAGAAGCAGTTCGGGATCTTCATTCGGAGGGTGTCCTCGCTTTAAGACCAGATAGCGAAACGTGAGTGCCGAATAAACATTACGTGTGCCAAGAGCGTGCTGAATATTTGAAATCAACCGTTCATCATTTAACAATGCAGTCCAGTTATGGTGTAGACATAATTTGTTTCGGAATAATTTAAGCACAAATTACAATTAATCCGTGTGTTGTAATTACATTGTTATTCGTCTTAGTTATTCTGATTCGACGGATAGGCCTGTCGCTGAGCGGTGTGTCGGCGACGGTGCAAAAGCCTAAACAAAGACTGACTTTACGTATATCTACATCGTGCGTCTATGTATGTATTGTATCATACCTACAGTAGATGTAAATTGCTCATCGTATCAAAAGCTAGAAATTCATTGCGGTCTATTGACTATTATTTAAAACAGAAATAAATTATTGAGAGTAAAGTCGTAAACATTGTTTCCTTTAAAAATCCGGACTGCCCATTTTATTTCGCTTCCAGGATTTGGCGGTTTCAAACATTCATAGCGGTTCGAGTTGGACTTGACTCCGTAAAAAATCATCGTCACTTTACGGGAAGGAGAGCTATCTGAACTATTTTCACACGCTTTATATGTATATTATCTATCCTTTTTATGTTATAAGAGCAGACGGGTCACCTGATGGTAAGTGACTACCGCCACCCATGGGTATCTGCAACTCAAAACTCATCAAGGGGAGAAGGTTTGGGCGCCGGTCACCACACTCACTTGGTGAAAAGCAACGAAGAACTGCTTAACATTTTCTGATTTTCGGTTTTCTGTGAGGCCATTGTATCACTCTGGATGGGCTGGCTTATTTGTGCCGAATCATGGTTCTCCTACGAAGATTACTATCTTTCTATTCTATGAAAATATTTGTAGCAGAATTTTTCAACGTAGTTCATACCAACTACTTATAAATAGTTTGAATAACTTAAAATGTACTTTACAGTCAAGGATCAATGAAAATACTTACAAGACTACAAAAACTAAGAAAATAAATTATAGATTATGGCCGATTAAAATTATATGTATATGTCGTGTCTCTTCTTCTGTCACAAGAGTTGTTTCCCTGAAACTTTAGTTCGTCAATTCACGCATTATGTTGTGGCTGTGAAAGAAATACCATAAGTATGTAATAGTTGAAGAATTCTACTTGTCAAGAATAGCACAAAATCTCTTTTAATGAGGATTTGAATTATCAATAACTTTGACAAAAAAATACTAATGGTATCACTTCTCGTACAAAGTTTAACTTATACTAAAACATGAAACCTTATAGGTAAGTATCAGAAAGAATATACGGCCTACCTTTAACATGCTTTTTATAAGATACTTACAACGATTCTTTTGACTGACAGGTCTACGTCAAAAGAATTTCAAGAAAACGAACTTTTCAGTGTACTTTTGTTTACTTTAAAGTATAGGGTGAGAGTATCAAGCTAAAGTGTTACAAGACAAGTAGTTTTTTCAAAAGTATTGTGTGTGATGTCCTAAACATTAACGTCATCGTTATTCCCTTCGATTAATTACATATACTTAAGTACTTAAGCTATATAAATATGTGATATTTGAAATAGTAAGATGAAGGGAGTTTTCAATATTTGGCTCAATGTACTTAACAAATGAACTTATTAAAATTCACATCATTAATAGATTTTTAATGTGAAACATCTAATGCTGTGGGTGAGTCCCGATGTTGGCCGATGTTGGCCACCCCTAGGGCATGCGTCGCCACGCTATATGAGTGTACGTAACATGTAATGCGGTGTGAAGACGTAATTTTGATGTTTTACATTTGCCCATAGAGCTCCGGTCCGACGTTGGCCTGTGTTGTTCAATACATTTGCTAGACCTCCCGACACAGCTCACTTTTATCAAACATGTCACTGAGTGTAGCTGCCAAACAAATATTTCACTTCTTATCAAGATTTCTAGAATCTATACCATCTATTTTTTTTTTAATCGATCGATCGATAATAAAATTTAGTGTTATAAGTGAATATGCGTTTTCGTAAACGGTGACAGTGCTTAAATTCATTGTTTTATAGTCTTGTGCTTAATCGGACATCTGCAGGTTCGCACCGTACTAGTACAATTCGTACAACGTACTAGCACGCCGTAATAGTACTATTAGTACAGTTTTAGTAGAAGTAGAAAACTTAAGCGTTTCTAATTAATATTTTTTAACGGGAATTAACGCGATCTCTTATTTAGGGTATTACATACCTCTGGTTTGCCTGACGTTTCGACCAGGTTGCACCGGCCGTGGTCACAGGCTGACTGGCTCATCGGCGCACGCCCTCCGTCGTCGAATCCGTGAAGTAGAAGGCTCTTCATCTACCCGCACATTTTCGATATTATTTTTGTGTCGCCATGTACCGTCACATACCACACTAACAGTGTCCCTATTCTGTAAGCAAACCGATGAGTCCCTATTCTGGTGTTTAACCGATTGCGCAGAAAAGCGAGGTGGTATGTTTTTTAACACTGGATTCCACGCTGTAGATAATTTAAAACCATCTTCCCGATTGAAAGTTTTATGCTTTTTAATCTCAATCGCTTCACGTACAACTCTTGAGTAAAAGTGACGTTCGGTGGAGAGGACTTGCGTGCGGTGAAATTCAATCCAGTGGTTGATGCCTGCATCGAGTGCATGTTCTGCAATCGCTGATTTGCTCGTCTGTCGGTTCTTCACAGCAGCGATATGCTCTTTGACCCTTTCTGCAATAGTCCGCTTAGTTTGGCCTATGTATGAGCTTCCGCAGCTGCAGTCTATTTTATAAACACCCGGAGTTTGTAGTGGCAATGTATCCTTCGGTGTGCCGACGATGTTGTGAACCTTTATGCCTGGTGTGTATACTGTCGGAATGGAATATTTCTTTAGTACAGACCCGATCTTGTCCGTAACTCCCTTGACATAAGGCATATAGGCCGGTTGCCTGTTCACTTCTGGATACTTGCGTCTTATTTTCGGTTGCTTCCGTCCTCCTTTCACTTGATATCCGTTACCTTTGAGTACCTCCTGAACATGTTTTAGCTCCTGTTCTAAATGTTCAGGGTCACAGAGATCGTAAGCTCTGTTTTTGAGTGAAGTCATAACAGATTGCAAGTGCCGGGGGTGATGATGAGACGTGGCGTGTAGGTATCTGTCCGTATGAGTAGGTTTACGGTACACACAGTGTGACAAGGACCCATCCGATCTCACGGCTACTTTAACATCTAAGAAGGACAACGACCTGTCCGTCTCCATTTCATATGTAAACCTCATTTTGGGGTGAATAGAGTTCAGATGTTGTATATATTGATCCACTTCTTGTTTGTTTCCTTTGACGATACTGAAAATGTCATCCACGTATCGCTTCCATAGCTTAACGGTATTCGGGCCGAGATTTAAAGCCTTCTCTTCAAAATGTTCCATCCAGATGTTGGCCAGTACTGGGGCTACAGGACTTCCCATCGCGACACCATCAATCTGGAGGTAATGTTGACCTTGGAAAAGGAAATAGTTGCCTTCTAAACAGTGTTCAAGTAGCTCCATATAGTTTAAGGGCAGCTCGTTGTCTCTCAGTAGGTCTTTTACAACGTTTAGGCACTCCTTTATTGGAACATTGGTGAAAAGCGACTCCACGTCAAAGCTCACCATGACGTCATCCGGTTCCAACGTCAGATCTTTTATGATTTGTATGAAGTGCCGTGAGTCTTTCACAAAAGACGGTGTTTTGCCTATAAGTGGTTGCAATACTGAAGCAACGTGCTTTGCTAGATCGTAAGTAGGAGAAGCAATTTGACTTACAATCGGCCGCAGCGGTACGTCAGGCTTGTGTATCTTAGGCAGACCATATAATTTCGGTGGCTGGTGTGACTTTGGTTTGTACAGTCTGTTGTACTCGTCTTTAGAACAGGAGCTAAAACATGTTCAGGAGGTACTCAAAGGTAACGGATATCAAGTGAAAGGAGGACGGAAGCAACCGAAAATAAGACGCAAGTATCCAGAAGTGAACAGGCAACCGGCCTATATGCCTTATGTCAAGGGAGTTACGGACAAGATCGGGTCTGTACTAAAGAAATATTCCATTCCGACAGTATACACACCAGGCATAAAGGTTCACAACATCGTCGGCACACCGAAGGATACATTGCCACTACAAACTCCGGGTGTTTATAAAATAGACTGCAGCTGCGGAAGCTCATACATAGGCCAAACTAAGCGGACTATTGCAGAAAGGGTCAAAGAGCATATCGCTGCTGTGAAGAACCGACAGACGAGCAAATCAGCGATTGCAGAACATGCACTCGATGCAGGCATCAACCACTGGATTGAATTTCACCGCACGCAAGTCCTCTCCACCGAACGTCACTTTTACTCAAGAGTTGTACGTGAAGCGATTGAGATTAAAAAGCATAAAACTTTCAATCGGGAAGATGGTTTTAAATTATCTACAGCGTGGAATCCAGTGTTAAAAAACATACCACCTCGCTTTTCTGCGCAATCGGTTAAACACCAGAATAGGGACTCATCGGTTTGCTTACAGAATAGGGACACTGTTAGTGTGGTATGTGACGGTACATGGCGACACAAAAATAATATCGAAAATGTGCGGGTAGATGAAGAGCCTTCTACTTCACGGATTCGACGACGGAGGGCGTGCGCCGATGAGCCAGTCAGCCTGTGACCACGGCCGGTGCAACCTGGTCGAAACGTCAGGCAAACCAGAGGTATGTAATACCCTAAATAAGAGATCGCGTTAATTCCCGTTAAATAATATTAATTATCATGGAACGCGAAAGTTTAAAAGTTAGTTAAGCGTTTCTATTGATATTACCAACATTAATGAAACGGATACTAATAATTAAATAAATTAAAAACGTAATTTAAAAAAGTGTTATAGTTTTTTTTTTATATAGATGACTTTGTATTAGGCAGTTACTTTTCTTCAGTATAGGAATAATTACACAGTTCTTGATTATTTTTAATGTGTTATCCTTTTCTGAATTCCATAAACCATAACAGTTTGACTTTTAAATACGATTTTTTAGATAACTTTACACTACATTTTTAAGCACACTATTTGATTTTCTTTCATACTTTATAACCCAACGTATTGTACTACACCTGTATCGCTGTCCCTTTTACTCTCACACTGTTTACCAATACGAAACAATAAAGCGGAACATTAATAGTACGTCGCACAGCGAACGAACGTAGACACTAGTAGACAGAGTAAACAATAGATAGTTTTAGTACTGGCTTGAAGTTGACACTGTGTACTAATAGTGCAAAATGTCCGATTAACAGCTGCCTTTCGGAAACATTACTTTTAGTACAATACCCAGTACTAGTACCTATCAGTACATCGTACGTGTACTACCCAAGACTATTGTTTTACGATGTAAAGTTTCTAGACGAAGGAACAAAACGTCATGTAGTTGCCAAATGTCAGAAGAGCTGACCTTAGTGAGGAGATATGCTCATAAATATTTGGAATTTGGAAATGAACATTTTTGCATTAAGTTTTAACGTGCATCTGTTTTGATAGTTGTTTAGTATATAGTAATGGCTCAGCCAAACCAAGTGACTGTGGACATAGAAGATGATGAGCCAGCGGAGGCCACACCGCGTCATAATGCGTTACACAGACTTGACTCTGTTTCCAGGCCAGCACCTCCAAATAGAAATAACCTAGGCCTCGGAGATCGTCTTAACAGTGTTTTCAGGGAAATTAGGCCTCTCGTTGAACATGCTCGTATGGTAAGTGACATACATCATCTTTCGTGATTTCAGTTTTCAACTTCAAGTTATTCACGATCTAAATACTGATAACCGTTACGTTTATTTATATTGGTGATTATCACTCACCAATACAAATAAAGGCCTAATGAGATTAAACTTAGTCTATTCTTATTAGATTATTTAAAATAGTATCAATTCAACTTACTTGTTCACAGGGCAATAACGCACGACTTTCACTCCCTACTTGGTTGCCGAGGAACACACCTACAACTCATCAGATTGTAGAAGTTGGTTTGCAAAGACCCCAGAGTTCTATTGCACATGTTAACTTAGGTCCATCGGCTCAGACATACGTTGTGACCGAAAGAGGTACTCCGCCTACTCAAAGGCCACAGCCCCCTAGTCATGGGGTGAGCAATAGTGCTACGAATGATCCCAACTTGTCTGAACAGGGCCAGGAACAGCCCGAGATCAATGTATCAGTAAACCCATCCAACAATAACAATATACATGACAATGCTGATAATGACAGTCAAAGTGAAGATGGTACGCAACAGGTTAGTCTTTTAGCATTGTATTTATCATTATAGTCATAAGTATACCCGAGTCCAGACAGATAGCAGTGTGGTTTTGGTCAGTTTGAATCCAACGTGCCACTTATGAGTTTATGACCCTTGTCATCAACAGTTCTAAATAGTCCATTGCTGGACATAGGCCTGCTCTTAGAATGGAGGGTTTGGCCTCATCCCACATTGGCCAGATGGGTTGGTATAGGGTTTGTTTCAAGTTTTCCTTCTCTTTGCCGTGCTGTTGTCTTGCAGAGGTTGCTCCACTACACAGGTCCTTGTGTGATTCCACATAGTAAAAAATAATTGGAAAACTCAATATGATTTTAATGACTTTTAAATTACTATGTATTTAAGCGAGTTGTAATTAAAACTGAGTCTAATCTATCATTAAAAGCAATGTGGCTATAAAACAATATATATATATTAACCTGTATGTGTATGTAAATTATGCAAAGTTCGAAAACAGTCATTGATGTAGTCCAATGCAAACTTAATGGCAGCTTTGAAGTTAGTTGGCTCAAAAAGTTGACTCGACTTAGACGTAGACAGGAATATGTATATACGTCCCACTGCTGTCTATTATTGTGTTCTGCGCATCTAAACGCACGATCTTCTGAGCCCCCATTAAGTTTGCATCGGACTGTACCACAGCCTCACTGATATTAAACATTTCTTTCATTGGCTTGAGTGAGTTTACAGGAGGCCAATCTCGCCTCCCTCTGGTTCTTAGGGGAGGAACTAAAAGGGTAGCAATTCACTTGTGACTCTAGAGTTACAGGTGGCCATGAACGGTGGTAGTGACTTACCATCAGGTGATCCATCTAGTCATTTGTCCCCCCTATAACATAAAAGACAAAAAAGTTCACAAAACATTGTGGTAATCAGAAAAACACATAACAAAATTTGTGTTGTAGCATCATGTTTCACAACCACAACACATAGTGGTCTAATCACAGTCAAATAAAGAAAAGCCTAAATTAAATTAGAACAGGTCATAGTTATAATAAAACAAAACAAGGAAAAAGTATGAGTTTGTACAGAGGTACAATGTGTTATACAACTTGTACATACTTCTGTGGCATATATTTGTTGTACATTGTTAATGCTACATTGCACTGGTGTAATCATTTGTTAGACCAGAGGTTTCCAAACTTTTTTCTCATAGAACATTTTCAAAATTTTCTGGTTTTGGTGAATCAACTGTTGCCACATTTCTACCATATTACCAAAAGTAGAAAAAAAATCACGCCGTCATTGACATCCATAAAATGCCCCGTGGACCCCTGGACCACTTTGCGAATCACAGTACTAGACAGTGTCAAGAGTCAGGACAAAGCTCAACAGATATGTAGATTATTATTTCACATCAAATGTCATGAGTATTACTATTCTGAAATTAAACTCTTACAAACGTTTCTCAGCCGAATAGGTCGCCGACAAAATGTTTCGTTTATGACTTGTTCAAGGAGAAAACCTTTCAAACACGAACGATTCGCCGACAAAACGTTTTATTTAAGACCGAATCAACGACAGAACCTTTCCACTACGAACGTTTCGCCGACAGAACGATTCATTAATGAGTGAATCGACTAGAGAATCTTACACCAAAAAAGGATTAGTGGGCAAAGTGGTTTTTCACTACTAGGGACTAAATCTAAAGATTATACGTTTTGAAATTTTAAATGAAAGATATTCGAAAATGAAAATAACTCCTCATTGTTAACAATTACACAACATGGTTTTTACCAAAACAAAAACATAACAAATCAACTATGATTAACAAAAACAATTCTAAAGTTTATAGATCACACATTATCGCACTTCCCTTCCCGGCACACCGGTACACGTGTTCCTTCGTATGATAACAATTTAAATTTTGTTTTTTTGTTTTTCCGTTACTTCTAAGACACATTATTTTGTATTATTGTAATGACAAATGTGCGCCTAGTCATATCGCAACACTTCGGCAAAGGACTCAACTAAGTGACTTTAAAACGAAGTCTGAAAAAAATATACCTCTCATATAAATATTGATTATTTTGCTTTGTTTAAAAAATTTAAATATCGACGACGATAACGAGTCATAAAGATTGTACATATTGTGAAAAAATTAAAAGAGCTTCATAATTCCATGGTTCCATGGTCTTGATCGCCTGTGCCCACTGGTTTGTCAGATAAACGAGAAGATCACCAGCTGAGCAACCCCGGCAATCCCCACTAGGGACGACACTTTGTGTGCTCCACAAAGTGTTGTTCTGAGTCTGTTTTTTTTTGTGTCAGTTTCATGTATGTTTGTAAAGTCCCCCGCAACACAGGATATTTTTCGGCGATTTATTTTTGTCGGCCAAATGTTCGTAGTGGAAAGATTCTGTCATTGATTTGGTCTTAAATAAAACGTTTTGTTTGAAAGGTTCTGCCGTTGAACAATTTCAGAATCGAGTATTACTCGTAAAAAAAAATACAAAATAAAAAAAATGTGCATCAAATTTCTAAGCTCACATGAATAAAAACAAGATCATGATACATTTTGAAGGGATAACTGGTACCACTTTACCATTCTAAACGAAGACGAAGAAAGTGGTTAGTATTTAACTCGAGTTGACTGTTATAATTTCAGCAATAAATGCTAAAAGTTGTTTCAGGTAGTGGACGTGAGAGCTACATTGAACCTTCTTATACGCTACGCACCATTCTACTTCCTATTATTTATTAAATTCATGTATGACAGCCGGGAAGGGATCTTCACTTTCATCATACTGTTCTGTACATTCACACACAGTAATAGTCTTGTTAGAAGGTTGGTACTTGTTTATTTATAACTTTGTATTATGTCTAATCTGTTTTGTTACACTTCACATGATTCTCAAAATTTTTAGCACGTGGGGTCTTCTAAGCCACCCTAAAATGTGACCTTATCCTACTGTAACTCATTGTAAATTGTTTTTCAGTTCTAAAATGTTTACGACAGTCATGATTATTTCTTTTCTATTGTTATATATAGTAGGCCAAAACCTCCTTTCTAAGGAGAGGCTTATGTCCAGCAGTGGACTATTAAAGGCTGTTGATGATGATAAAATAGAAGAAGTTTTTACCTCAAAAACTGCTTAACACCGGTTTTTTGCGAAGCCGTGGTTTCACTCCGGTCGAGCCTGGTTTATATGCACGCTCAGCACGTACTTACGTGCTGAGCTATTTATTATCTTTGCCTACCCTTAAAAGAGCAAGACGTGAGGTTGTCTTTGTATTCTTCCCATTTCATGAGTAACAATTTTCATATGCCATTGATTTTCAGGACTATGGCATTTAGAATACGGGAGTATCACATATTTGAAATTATTCGACTCTTAATAGTTTCTTAACAGGTTAAATAGTGGCCTATTTGGTCATTCACAAAACTAAAAGTAAGCTTAACATTTTCTTTTGACATTTCTTCCAGGGAACATGGAAAACAGATGAACCGGAGTATACTAGCTTTATTGAGCGAATTAGTTTTTACATCGAGTTGTATAGTGGTCGTGCACTTCCTATTCGGGCACGGTAAGCTCCTGCCGAACGTCGTTATGTTCCCGGGGTACACTGAGCTCGACGTGTGGGAGCTGCTGTGGCTTGTGGTGCTAACTGATCTCATAGTCAAGATCATCACCGTTGATATCAAAATATTGGTCACTATGATGCCCGCATTTATATTGCCATTTCAGAAAACGGGTGAGTTATATGTACATATAGTTATGCGTATTTATAATAATAGTAATTATTGATTTTGAATGAATAACACTATTCTAGGTATGTACTATAATGTATGTATGAGTCACACACACCTCATTCAAAGTTGTCTGTAAGCCAATATGACATCTTAAATTTATCTTATCAGAGTACGTTGAAACAATTTGATTACTTTAACTAGTTTTTCCTGCGACTTTGTACACATTAATGTATATTTTGTTAAGCTGGTTAACCGGTTAAAGTTTTCTGTCGAAAACTTATGCTTATTTCGGATGACTGGTAAGAAAAAAGGTGTAATAAACTAGTGTACCATTCTGATAACGTGTTTGTATGAATTCATAACGATCTGTTGAGTATTTGAGGCGTAAAAGCGTAACAAACAGCCTTTCCGATGTGAAGGGTGTCTGAACTGTCTAGGGTGACTACCAGACTTTCTTACAACCGAAATGACAACCTCCTCATTTTTTTGGAGTCGGTTAAAAATCATAATTGTCGTTATAATAGGTAGGGCTAAAAGCGTAATAAACAAAAAAACATCTAAACAAGTAAACATACTTGTTTTGGTCTACTATACCCCGCTGGCCATATGGTATAGGGTTTGTTTCAAGTCTCTTCTCTTTCCAGTGCTGTCCTGCGTAGTTTGCTCCCTTAGTCGACTCGTACGACACCCGCGGGATGAACAGGGGTGATGACACCGTATCCTTAATCCGTCACCTCACGGAATATTATATTACTATTAGTTAACTAGAGCACGCTTTGCTGTGGCAGATTTAACATTAATGAGGAATAAGGAACAAAACTGGCGCGAAAAATAGATAAAAACTATATTGAAGCGTTTGGGTATCGTATCAAAATTTAAGACCAATCGGTGCAGACCTTTGACTATTTAGCGTACACAAGCCAACTTAACATTGATATATCTATATATATACATATATATGTGTTATAACGAAATTCTGTGTTTACAATTTTCAGGGTAAAGTATACTTATTCACTGAGGCGGTGTCACAACTGTACCGCTCTCTCCTCACAATCCAGCCTTGGGTCTTCTACCTTCTGCTGTCGTACGAAGGCTCCGAGAAGATGGTAGGCATGTTCCTTACCTCCGTATACGTCATCGCGAAGTTCATTGAAGTGCTTGTACGACTGAGACTGTTTAAGAATGCCACGTGGACGCTCCTACAGAGTGTTGTAAGTATTAATTATATTCGTCACATGGAATAGTCATAGTTACTTTTACTAAAATAGAGCTGAAATACATTTATGTTCAAGTTTGAAGTTCCTGCGATTATATGACATGAGTATTGAACGTCATTTGGAAATAGGAAATAATAAAATATATATATGTATGTGTGTATCGGCCAGAAGGCCACTTCTCGTAATAACAGTTCGGTCTCAATTCAGTTCCGATCAACTAAAATAACAAATATAAAATTTAAAACTAAAAAACAAATGTTTTGTATCCATCGACCTTAACCCCAAACAAATGTGAATAAGATATAAAATAGATTTAGAGTAGTATTAATTCAGTCAGTTTATTATTTTTATTAAGTATACTCTTCTTTAGTTTTTTTTTCTCGTTTGATTGTAATTAGTTTACTACTTTTTACACTACTACATTACAGTAAATGCTATGTAAACCTTAATTGTCATACATATCAGGTATAATGCCACGTATTGTCAAAACTAGTTATAAGTATAATATGTATGATGTGGTAGTACTTATTAATAAATAAATAAATAAACTCGATCTCAAAAATATCATGAAAGGTATTTTCGATTCAAGTTATACACACACGTGTGCACGATAGGTTGTGCACAAAAAAACGAAACGTGGTCATTCGATCTCTAAATTTTACACTTCATATCTTTTTCATACTGGGTGCCGTATATAAAAATAGATTCTTAAAGAGTAAACTCCAAAATAATATTTGACACAACTCGCATTCGTACCTAAATTCATGTTTAGTATACAGAAGAGTAAAGAGCCACTGCTCCTACGGGGTAGTTGGATACCAAGGGACTGGAGGAAGAAATGGGAGACTTATTATTATTGCCATCATTTATTGCCATATCTGCTTTTTAGTAAATCGGAGATCTAATTTATATGTATTTACCCATAATAAATGTATATGACGGGGGCAAAACTAATTTGATTCCTTTGTTTTTAAACCGTCTTTCTTTATTTCCATAGAACCTCGGCACAAAACCGACTTGCGAGCAGTTATTATCTGCGGGAGATTCATGCCCAATCTGTCACGACGACTACACGACACCGGTGCGGCTAGGATGCAGCCATATCTTCTGTGAACTATGTATCTCGGCTTGGCTGGACCGTGAGCATACTTGCCCACTATGCAGGGCCAAAGTTGCTGATGAGCCCACTTGGCGCGACGGCTCCACGACCTACGACTTCCAATTATACTAGTCTTTGCTTATAACAAGTGTGCAGTTGAACACTGTTCAAGCACAAAAAGTTAAAAGAACTGTATTCGTTATATAGCGGTATGACAAAGCCAGTAAGAAACTCAATGGCCAATAAAAAATTGTTAAATATTTAGTGTCATATAATCAGCTGGCAAGTGGTGTACGTACTTTACGGATAACGAACGGCTCCAACAATTTGGAAGAATTTGGAAGAAGCTTTTCCTTAAAACATTTTTTAGGCTTAGGACTTTTAGTAATGTAGGTTACTTACAAAGTTCAATTGACACCGAAATATATCAGGCGACAGTTTCACTGACGTACCATTTTAATCTTTATCTCCATTAGACAATGCATGGTATCGTTTGAGAGATCCGATTATACACAGTGTCGCAAACGGCGTAGCGATCCGTCCCGTCCAAATGATGATACCAAGCGATACTATCCAGTGTTTCATAGAGATAAAGCTTAAAATTGTTTTACAGTGTAACTGCCCACCGCTGACAATTCGGTGTGAATTTTTCTTTAGTATTGCTTTTAAACATTAAGCTACATGCTTGAGTAAGAAATGGGGTTCACGGTGATTGCAACTTATACGCATTTCCTATATTATACTAAAGTCGCATTTTACAATTATTATTTTCAAGAAAATAATTGTCACAGTAATGAGTTACAAGACTCTCTCATGAAATACGTACCGTTTGGTGAGCGTTAACCGTGGGTAGTACAAAATTTTTACACGTATTGTTGGTAGTTAATATTAATAAATAATCATAATGTATAACCCATACTTTATATAGAAATTAGAAATGTAATAAAGGAAAATTAGTGTGCTAGTAAAATTTTCAGAATATAGTGACGTCATCAACACATTTTTTTTAAGTTTTAAGTCTTACTGGCCGATGACCATGGATTAATCCGCGCCAAACTCTAGCCTCGTACGGCCACATCGTATTGCTCAAAACTACTTGAATTCAAATTAAATTAAAGGGGCCGTTAGCTGTTTGCTACACCAGCGTAGAATATCATACGAAAATACATGGTGAAATTTATGTTTCTAGAATTGTAAACTGATTGAGTATTCGTGAAAATTAGCGTTTTAATTGATGTTATTTATATTGTAATAGCAGACGAAATATCGAAAGTTGGAGAGATGTATTGTTTGAATATGTTGAAAAAATGCTAGAGATTAGCCCTTCCTAGCTTACTTAAATCATAGAAGGGTTAAGATTCAATATTCCTCAACCAAAATTTTTTTACTTAATCGTTTTTTTTTTAATTGAAGGTTACTATTACTATTTAGTATCTACTCAGTAGGTCTAAGCGAGTTTGTGATGTCACACAAAATAAAATATATAAAAAAGCATAAAAGACGTTAAATATGTGTTAAGGTTTTCATGATGTCACAGCACCCTTGTAAAGATTAGTGAGGTACTTTTGCCACTTATTTGTCAATCGATAGCAGTATGTTTTGTTTTATTATAACGACGAAAACGATTTGAATAATAACATTTATAACGTTATTATTGTAACTGTGTGCGATATCCGTACCCCATTGCTTCAATAATTACGACGCTTTAAAATCATAAAACGTTTTGTATTAAGACACTTGCTATTTTACACACTGTGCGTTTGTTATTTGATTTCTACGTATAACGAACACGTCCTTCACACATTCGAAGAAACCAAAAGGACTCATAACGCATTATCATAACAACTGTACTTTGGACTTTTGGAACAGGTATTGTGATAATACGTGAAAATTAAAAATACGCGTAATATTAAATTAGTTTAACATGTTCAATCTTACCTTAAGTAAATATTTCTATTACAAGTAAAATTTTGATTGTCAATTCTTCTAAATTAGATATACTTGCTTTGAAAATACGGAATAAGTTTTTAAATATTGTAAATATCTATTGTTTATGATTAAATATTGTGGGAACCCGTTACTTGATTAGGTTTGTAAAGAATAACCTGGCCTAAAACATAGATATTCATTTAGTTAATATGTACATAATGTAAGTACATGTAAACATGTAATTAAGCCGAATTATATTTAGATTTTTATAAAAAATAAGAAAAAATGTACATAAATAATAATTGAATATATATTAAATAAATCATGATAACAGCTGTATGATTAACTATATGGTATAATAAGTATATATAAAAAAATATGTTTGTCCTTGTTCAGTCCACTAAATGTTGAAAATTGACTTTGTTAACTAGTTAAAAGGTATCTTAGTAAAATTTTATACATTTAGTGGTGTCGATTCCACTGTAGGTATGTTATTTAAGGAATTGTATATCTCAATTCACCCGTTTAATATCTTGGCTTATTGCTAGAGGATCAGCTTAAACTTAAATTACATTTGAGTATACATTTTAAATAATCAATTCAGTATGTCTCATCTCATGAAAATAAAAAAATCTATTGTAGCAGATGTCGTAAGTGCTTGATTATTGAAATTTTGAAGTCACTTTCAATGTTTAAGCTTCACTCAGCAGTCACTTCAATTTGTTCATAATCTTATATTTTTTCGATTTGAGAAATAAATAATGTACTCCCTAATCTTTGTAGTGACCAGAACTTTATTGATTTGATTTTAAGAACATTTTCTGGTATACTTACCGTCTGACACCATCCGTGTCCCGTTATAGTCCATTCGCATTAAGAAAATAGTGACACATTGATCAAGTTCTACGCCCTGACCAATTAGATTCCCAGCTTTCGTACGAAACGATAACTTCTTGGAACCTTTTGCCTAACGCGAATGGACTTATTTCAGTGCATACGCTTCCGACTGCTTTACTATGGTAAAACAATCAGAAGCGACCGTAAATTAAAAAGTAAGAAAAGGATGACTATCGAACCTGTATGAGTGGGAATAACAATAGGAAACAAATTGATAAATTTATTTGTTACCATCAGCCTAAGGCTACGCTGCTACTGTTTATTCCTAATATCATAAAATGATTATAATTGGTTTTAAACTTCGTTAAATCTATCCCATTTAAGATCTAAATCGTGAAACTTATCGCCGAATGCCAAATAGTTCTAAGATATCGCTAAGTCATTCTGTGTTGCAAAAATAAAAAATTGACATTTATATGATACTAACACTTAATGGTGTCTGTGTGAGATACGTGGCTTTTTAGTTTTTCGATATTATTTTAATTATTATAAGGTATATGACTACCTTCTGCCTTGATTTGATTGTTATGTATTAAAAACAAACAAAAACGATTGTTATATTATTAAATTGTTTGAGAAATAAACTTTTCACTTTGCCTAAAGCAGTCCTTCAAAATTAATCATATATTTTAAACCTAACATTAAGTATATGAATTAATGTATTCGAAAATTAGTATAATATGTTATAAATAACTAGATAAGACGTTAATTAGCATTGTTAACATTCCGTAGTACTGTAAAAAATGTGTTAAGTGCGCGTAAAATACATGATGATAACTTGTAGAAATTACTGAATACTTTAGTCTGGCGACATCCATATACAGCGATACATACTTCAGCGCCATCCGGTGAAAACAAGTCGAACTAATAACTAGCAAATGCTAGTCCTATATTGCGCAATATAAGCAAGTCATAAATATCTAGCTTAGTCGAGATGTCTATTTTTATTGGAGGGATAACACCCGTTGCTCCACAAGACGTTCGTTTTTCAATCAACAAACATTTTCGTACACTGCACTCAGTATGTGGCTGTATCTGGGTGGAACCATTTTTTTTTTAATATATTTTATTTTAAATGTATTGTACGTAACAACCAGGTGAGACGAGTAACCTGCGATAACCAAGGGATCGACCGCACGGTACGTTAACTGGTAACCCTAATTTAAGTAAAGGAATAATTTATGTTGGATTGTTGAGGTTTCCCATGAATGTAACCTTGACAGACTATAGAAGAAGCTTTTAACTAAATATGAGATACTTACACTATACAAATGAGTATGACAATAAATTATTCAACTGCACTTGCATATCATTTTTATTTATTTTGGTACCGATGGACGATTTGTTAGTGGCCATTTTCAAACTCAAATTTACTGAAAAAATGTGTTAAAATTATAGAAAAAGTATATTTACAATATAAATTAATAATACAGAAATAAGTAAGGCAAAAAAGAAAGGAAAACTTACTTACTTAACTACAAGGATATTTTTCCTATACATAATCGATGACGCACGAGGATTTAATGAAATTTAAGGGAGGCGTCAGTTTATCCTCATTTCGTTACAAGACAGAAACCCTAGACCCAGAATACCTAGAAAAAAAATAAACAAAAAGATGTGAATTTTACTCAGAAAGTTTCACTTCCCTCACCTGTGCTGCGCACGCGTATTGTATCAAGATAAAATATGAAGCGACGGGAGTTTTTAGGCGCACTGCTCGGTTTCGAGTGATCCTCGTGCATTATCGATTATAGCAAACTTCGGTTCTAGATGTCCAAAACTGGCCACTCTAACACGTTGCAAGAAGAAACTATGTAATTGTTATTTTTAGGATATTTTTCAAGCGTACTATTATATTTTAAGTCAGTCGCTAAAGACACCATGTTTCAAATGAATATTCGATTGTCTCTGCTGTGTGCGCTGCTCTTCTAACTCATTTTTTTTTCTAATTCCCTTAAATATTATGTTTGGTGCCCTATTTACATCTTAGATCTTACTTCGCTTACGGAAATGATTAGGGTATTAATAAAAAAATATGTTTTTATCATAGAATATAGTATAGGCGTATAGAAAAAAAATAAGGGGGTACAATAGTGTGTAGCCACAACACATCCCAAGTTTAAATGTTCTTAAACTAGGTACTTAAGTCGTATGAACTACGCCCAGATCTTAACCCCTATGATTATGTTATATATTAGATACTTTTTTGACGTAAGTGTTCCTAAGAAGTTTAGACATAATACTGTTAAATATTAATAAATAATTTGTACCTAACGTCAACCAGGTTACAAAAAAAACTTGAACTTAATACAGAAGATTACTCCCTTAAAAATCTAAATGAGGACGTGTCTCTCTTCTCTCACTCTGAACTGTCTCCGAGGAAGACATGCCCGTATTTATAATACTCGCCACACGTCTCGAAAGCTCTTTACAGCTTATTCTAATTCCTAGTAGAACTTTCGATTTCTGAGAAATGCAAATTCGTTTCAAATGTAAACAAGATAATCGCGCGACAATCTATTTTAGATCTTATGGGTCTTGTTATAGAACTCATTCTGCCGTGTCACCCTGCATTATTCTTTTAGAACTCTTTCTGGAATTGCGCGGTTAAATAAATTCTCGAACCTTCGTGACATCTCGTGACAATGTTATATAGCTTTAAGCAATGACTTACTTTTTGTATTATTTTGTTTATGGTTTAAACAGTTGTCCTATCATTATTATTATGAAGCTTCCTGTAAAAAACAAAACGAAAGCTGAGGTAAAAGGGATGGCATAATATGATATTGATGATTATTCTCACCACAATATAATAAATAATAATAAATCAAATAAATTTCAATCACATTTTATTCATAGTTTACATTTTACAGATTCACATAACATAATTATTATCGCTTAAGTTTACTTTTTGCCTACAAACGTGAAAAATTAAATAATTTAGATCATTAATAGTAATTATTATTCAAAGTATCACAAACATTGGATAGAGTAACACTGCTCTGAAAGCGCGAAGCATCTATCGTATATCTAGGAGAGGCACCCTCCCAAGGTCGCGGCTCACGACACCGGTCGTTACTTCAAAATTGCTACATTTATCAAATAATTAAATCACAGAGTCGCTTCAAAGTACTAGATAATCACACGCGATTGGCACAAATCGTTAAATCAGAGGAGGTGCGAGGCCTCGCGATGGGACGGACGAGTGCGGGCTCGGCACGGGCGAGTCCGCTCCGGACGTACATATACACAATAAATCAAATCGAAAAAATATAGAACGTACAGTGGGTCGCGAACTTCCAGCGGAACGGAGGATCTACCGGCGGCGCAGTCGTCGGTCTCATCGGCCCCGGGGAGAGAACGTGCGATTCGATGACGAACGAGAGTGCCTCGTCAGAGGCGGGGGCGGCGGGCGAGCGTTCGTTACGAGCCGGGCGGGCTGGGGCTGCGCGCGCGCGTCTCGCACGCCGCGCTCAGCTCGGCCGGCGCGGGCGACGTGTTGGTGCCCACCGAGTGCGTGCCCGCCTCGGGGTCGGGCGGCGGCGCGGCCGAGCCGTACAGGAACAGGCTGCGCAGCTTGGCGGAGCGCGACGTGGACGTGGAGGGCAGGTCGTCGGGCCACGACGCGGCGCTGGTGTTGTCGGACGCGGCCACGTCGGCCGTGACCTCGAGGCGCGTGGCGGCAGGCGAGTGCGCCTCGTGGCCGCCGAGCGACCCCGCCAGCGCCGCCAGCGATGGCGCGCGCGCCTCCGCCGCAGCCGACCCCGCCGACAGGGACGCGTCGCCTGCAAAACATACCAAAATCCGACTGTTAGTGTATGGTCTTCGTAAATGACCTAACCTTATGAATTAATTAATATCAGTTGTCATTGGTCACGCGATGGTTACGATTGTAAAATTAGCAACATATCATGGTCATAAATCAACCAACCAATAACCATAGGTGTTTCTTTTTTTACTGTTTGTACTGTCAAACAACGCAATTCTGTTCCAATTCTGAAAACGTAATATTTGACAGGACAATTTTTTTTTTTTGTGATTTTTAGTTTAGTTAAAAAGTTTTCTAACAACAGAATTAGCACCAGTGTCAGTTTTCACTAGACCAACGTACCAATGCTAGGTTCGAGTCGACGCGAGATGGCGTCGGGGTCGGGCGCTGGGTCCCGTTCATCATCGAAGTGCGGAGCGGAAGGTGGTGGCGGTCCGCCAGCGCAGCCCCCCGCGCGGCACAGCGACACGGGCACCACGCCGTACACGTAGAAAAGCAGGATAGGCACGCCGATGCCCACGGCCAGTCCCGCCACCAACGGCGACACCAGCAGCGCGGCGGCCACGGCGGCTGCTACGGCAGCCCGACGGCGCGGTGCGGGGGCTCGCCGCAATCGTCTGTGAGCACGCCGGCCCGCCCACAGTGGCAGGCCCACCAGCAGCGCGGGCAACGCTACGCCTGCCACTACGGCGATACCCAGCGGCGCGCCCGCTAACGTGCCGAGCTGCCACAGCAATTTTTTCTTTCGCGACCATGGCTTCTTGCCCCAGAACGTGCAACCGCTTGGGCTGAAACAAATTCATATCGTCATTAATAATTATCTCCTTCTTATTCATCATCTAAATATTCTATTTAACGAAAGAAATAAAGGAGAGATTCTTAATTAGCAAATAATCTACTGACATTTCAAAACTGATGGCTTTTTCTGAATTTCACAATCTATACAAAGAAATAAAAATGGAGTGTCTGTTTGTAATATTAAAATAACCGCTTTTTAATAAATGCATATGTATGTTTACACGGTACATATGCCAAAATAACATTTTTTACAATTTTTGTCTGTCTGTCTGTCTGTCTGTTTGTTCCGGGTAATCTCTGGAACGGCTGGACTGATTCCGCCGGGACTTTCACAGGCAGATAGCTGATGACATAAGGAGTAACTTAGGCTACTTTTTTTAGACTAGCTTCGCCCCGCGGCGTTGCCCGCGGTTATATCAACAAACGCGGGTAACACCGCGGGTCTCAGCTAGTATATTATAAATCTTCACTAATATCTTTAATGATTAAAAAATGATAATGGATTCAAATAAAAACTCACCTTAGGTAATGTAAATCTGACACCTCTTTCATGCAAAGCCAGCAGAACTCAGCGCCGCAAACACAGCACACCATGTGGTTACATGAACCGTCTTCTACCTTCACGATGAGCACCGAGCATCGCGGACACGGCTTCACTTCACCTATAACAGTAGAAACGTGTTCATTCAATTCACTTTCATTAAAGAAAATCGCTTCATCCACTCTAGTGAACCTCACCAATTAAACAATTACATAACACCACCTTTGAACTTCCGTTTTTACGATATGGATAGGGAACCTAATACGTAAAGATCTGTGATGCGTATCGTACAATAAGTGTTGAGACTCAAACTTCTTGTGATTAGTTGCGAAAGAATGTGAACAGGAAATAGTTACCGTGATCAAGATCAGGATGTGAGGGTTGCTGAGCGCGAGGAGGCACGGGCTGGCGGGAGCGGCGAGCCGCGTCACATGTCTGCGTGGGGTGCCACGCCGCCTTACAGTGATAACAAAACGACGCGCCGCAGCCTGGTGCCAGGCACGTCAGCTTTGGGCACGACGCGCAACCAGACGCCACTACCGCGAAACTGCGAACGAATATACACATATTTTGTAGAGTTATTTTTCTTCATTATAGTTAGCTTCTCTCCTTAGCATATTAACTTGTCCAAATAATTTTGGAAATATAGCAGCAAACTAATCGAACTACTTTGTAAAGAAAAAATCTACAACGAGCAATAACAATTCCTATGCCGGTTAGTGTCAATAACCAACCTTTAAACTGTCGCACTTGTATTTCTGTTTAAAATTAAATAAACCAAATAATAAAAGTGTGTTTTTGAAGATGGTAGGATGGATGGTGCAATAGGGAGCAAACTGTTAAAAGTCAGGCAAATAAATATATATATTTTTTTAGAATATATTTCAGATTTTTGTTTTTAATATTTCTGACATGTAACACACAACGCCATCTAGTTTCAAACTAAGCAGAGCTTGTACTATGTAAGCTAGATTGACTGATAGAATACTTATATACTTTATTTTTGTAAATACATACATATTATACATACAAAACATCCAAACTCCGAAACAAATATTTGCAGAGCATACGAATATTTGCTCCGACCCGGGAATCGAACCTGAGACCTCAAACAGCATTAGCATACGCTACCACTGCGCCACCGAGGCATTCAAGAATGTGCACCAGGGAAATATCTTGCCACATGTGGTGTTAGTGGAACATGGTAAAGTCGGTAAGCCCTCGCGGACTGGACACTATTATTATATTAAATTTGCGCATATCGTGGACAGCAGAGACTAATTAGAACATTTTTGAGCAACTGAAAGGTCTCCACATTTTTTTTTATGTCAAAGGGTCAGACGAGCATACGGGTCACCTGATGGAAAGCGACCATCGCCGCCCATGAACGTCTGCAACTCAGGAGTCACAAATTCTACCTGACTAGAGTTTGATTTTTTATCTATACATATATGTTAACCCTGTTGTGAAAAATGATAGCAAAGCATTGAACGAACTACTATGACTCATAAAATGACGTCATCTATTAAACCTCAAGGGCTTGCCTTGCGACATCCGACCCTTTTCAGCGTATGCGTCCGCGTACCGACCTGCAGTCAGGCGCCGGGCACCACCTCGTATCAGGGTCAGCTGCTAGCGCGCGTCGTACACTGAACTCTTCGTACTTGTCATATAGCACCGGGTTATCGACGATACGCCGTACATCTGCAACATGTGAACATTATTTATTAGACAGACATTCTAACTATGTTGTTAATAATACTTCCTTTTTGATTTTTAACTGGACTGATGGTTAGTGACCCTGACTGACCTAAACCAGAGGTCGTTGGTTCGATGCCAACTCAGGGTAAATAATTGTGTAATGAGCACAATCATTTGTTCTCTGTCTAAGTGTTATTGATCTATTAATATGAGTGTATTTAAAAATATTTAAGTATGTTTAGCAGGAGGCTGATTACCATAGCACCGGATTTGCCAAATTTGGGATCAGACGGCCCTGTGTGAAATTGTTATGAACATAAACTTAATAAGATATTTCACAGACAGTAGTAACAATGTTAAAACCAAAATCTAAACCAAACCAAATCAAACCAAAACCAAATGTAATCAAACCACTATCTCAAGTCAGTCCTTGAGTCAGTCCTAGAGCTGGGATAATACATACTTATATGGGTATACCTACATAGGAAAAACAAACGAACCTTTAAATCTCAAGTTATATTGTTCGTCAAATAATGTGTACCGTAAACCTGGACCTACCTATACATATGTTTACTTCTCGACATATAAAGAAACAGATAGTGTGACTCAAAACCTAGAAATGAATCAGTCATTCACACAATCCACATAATTAGTAAGTACCTAAACGTCTTTGCATTGAATTCATTTTTACTTATAAACGTTGCATTCAAATTATAATAGGACGTTAGGGACAGGGCGAACTGGAAGAAGTATACTAAAAGAGCTGACCCCACCACTATGGGGGACCAATAATCGGGAAGAGAGAGAGAGAGAGAGAGAGAGAGAGAGACACTACGAAAACCATGCAATATATTGTGACCTTTATTTCATAAAAAAATAAAATTGTTTGAAATCGTCTTTTATGTAGACTCTAAAGTCATAGATCAACACACGCAATAACAAAAATCTCTGTTTTGTCAAATATTTAGTAAAATAAATATAATAAAATTATACGTATCGAAAATCTATTATATGCCACTGCCGATCTACAACCGCCTGTTTCCAAGCGTATCGCATGGTATTGCATGGTCGCAAGGGTATTGCATGGGTTTCTTACAATATTGTAGTTATATAGTATTATAGTTATGTATTATAGTTCTATAGTATTTAATGTGGTAGCCGGCAATGAACCCCACCCCCCCCTCCCTAATTTGCCTGATTCTGGGGGGAGGGACTCAAAAGGCGGACCTGTGATTATTGAGTTGCAGGTTTCAATGGGTATTTGGTAGCGTTAATCACTTACGATCAGGTAACGTGGTACGAGGGCTGCTATTTATGTGTCCAGAATAACGAAGTGAAACAAAAATATAGAATTTATTGTAGTTTTATTGCTTTTCAAAATATTTGCCGTGTCAAATTTCACGTTTATCCTACCTAGTCCTAAAGTACCTACTAAGTTTCGCTTCACGTATTAGATACTATGCATATTAGTATTAATATACATATATGTGTTTCAAATGGATCTATTTTTAAGTGCCAATGGGGAATAAAATGGTTGTCGCGGATAGACGGTCGGATCGGCAGACGGACATGGGGAAACTATAGTCTTCCTTGTTAGAACTTCGGCATCCTAAAATGATATTGTGTATTAGTCACTTCCACTGACTTTGATTTCTGTATATAATGAAAGAGTCTGTCATAATCATTTAATATATGTATCATATTTGTATAATCGCCACATGGGACGACACATTGTATAATCCACAAATTGTCGGTCTGAGTCTGGGTGTTCTTTGTGTCCGTTTGATTCACGTATTCCTCGTGTGGAAGATGTCTTTTTTAAAAGAAGAAAACTTCTTGACTATGAGAGAAAGAGAGAAAGAAAATGTGTGGTCGCACCTTTTTCTCTTACCCCCATAATTATGTACGAAACGTAACCCTTTCTCTTTCTTCTCAACACCCGATCACACTTTTCGTAACGCTCTCTTCACGCATTCACCAGCTTACTCCCCAAGTCAAGCGTGGGTAAAGAAGTTTTATTAAAAAAAAAAAGTTATATAGAAATCAACGTTCTTGCGTTATACTACTTTAAAGTATAAAGAACAGTCAATGTGTGTTTTAACTCGTAAATAGTTAAAGATACCGAGAAAGTACAAATACCTTGTAATAATATATGTACCAATATTTCTCTCAGTCGTTTTATCGTTTACCGCGAGTTACTCGAGATCATACTACGAACCTAACGGTGCTCAGTAAAACACAAAAAACTTAATAAGTCAGTAGGGCAACATCCAACGACCTCAAGAGGAAAATCCTGTTATAAAGTTTAATATTAATCTCTTACAAAGAGTGAATAATGATTATGTGTCAAAACAGAATTTACTTAACACGATTTTATTATATTAGAGACAAAAGCGAGTTTGTTTGTAACTAGTTAACCTCTTTACTACTCAACCGATTACCATGAAATATTTGTTGTCAAAAAAAACTTAAAAGAGTAGGATCTCGATTCGAAAGATACATACCTATATAACTTTTAAAAAAGTATTATCGACTTCAATGCGTCTAAATCAATAAATTGTATTAAACTGTATTAATTAATATTTTTTTACACTTAGGACACTTATTTTTTTCATATTTGAGTGAAAAAAAAACCGGGAAATATCTATCCTCCCAAACAAAAAAATTCCAAGTCGGTTAATCTATGACAGAGTTTTGACATACACAAAACACCACCAAATTGAGAATTTCCTTCTTTTTTGAAGTTGGTTAAAAATACTCTTATGCGAGCGAAGCTTTGTAATAGCCATTTAAGAAAAGATCGCATGTGAATGTTGCAACATTGTTACTTGACACGAATCTCTTTTATGACTTAGCAGCTGCAATTCTCGATTACACTGCAACGATCGACATTCTCGGAACTGCTTTATGATATGTGGAATTCGTCTGTTATCACATCCGCAATAGCTGTCGTGTGGGAGAATAGTTACTTGTAGCGGTTTTGCGAATTAGGTAGTTACTTGTTCATGATAAATTGTAAATATATCATTAAGATAATACAATAGGTTAAATGGCAAAGTTGATCACTTCGATAGTTACGTGAATCGTTCCACAACTTCAAGATGAACATGAATGACACTATGAATGTTTGCAGCACGTCCTCAATACCTTTCGATATATTTTATTTTAATAATTACTTAATTTATTATTAAATAGTAATTTAATTTTTTTATCCGTGTGGTGACGGATTAAGAATACGGAATGTCACCACCCCTCTTCATCCCCTGGGTGTCGTAAGAGCCGACTAAGGGTGTTCCCTTAGTCGGCTCTTACGACACAGCAGAACACAATTGCACAGGACAAGGAAGGAAAACTTGAAAGAAACTCCATACTAGCCCGTCTGGCCAGCGTGGTATAATAGCCCAAAACCTCATTTCTAAGGAGAGGCCTATGTTAAGCAGTAGACAATTATAGGCTGCTGATGTGAATTTAAATTTGAAAAAGAAAAGCCGAAGCTGCGGTGGTGAATTCATCTGCGACGATAAGTTCGCGATGGACCGCTGAAGCCCCGCAGCGCCGAAGCCGTGACAGACATGCTGTAGGCTGCATACTTGCTTGCATGCTGCATGGCTTTATTATTATGGTAATAAATACAAAATAATGGATAGATAGTCTTTCAATTATTATAGATATGATATATATATGCCAAAAGACGATTCTCACTGTAAACTGCTTAATATATGATACTTTCGATATGAAATTTATGCTCAATGACAATTCTGACTATGAACTTTTGGCGATATGATGGTTCTACTTTTGAATTATTATGGTTATGAAGTATATGCTTAAACATGATTATGACTTACAAAACAATGCGTTCTGAATGTATGATAAATGAGTGTCTGCCAAATGATTTTCTGCGAAGTGAAGTTCATGCTATCCGTTGTTATGCAAAATAATATTATGTCATAAAAAGTTCTGCTATAAAGGGGGGACCCATAACTAAGCAATGTTAGGCAAGTAATAACTTTAGGGATCTGATAACATTGATAAACGCTTTATCTTAATTACATTAGTAATTAAATATGATTTTTTAAAGGCTGTATGTAAATCCATTACTTTTTATGACTGAATAAGGATATAACGCCAAAATTACGTCTTGTTATTTATGAAATCTTCTACCTATACAAATAAATAAAATTGGATTGTCTGTTTGTAATATTAAATAACCGCTTTTTACTAAATGCATATGTATGTTTACACGGTACATATGCCAAAATAATATTTTTACAATTTTGTCTGTCTGTCTGTCTGTTTGTTCCGGGTAATCTCTGGAACGGCTGGACCGATTTCGATGGGACTTTCACTGGCAGATAGCTGATGACATAAGGAGTAACTTAGGCTATTTTTTTCTAGACTAGCTTCGCGTTGCCCGCGGTTATAACAACAAACGCGGGTAACACCGCGGGTCTCAGCTAGTTAAAAATAAATTCAGTAAATTTCGATGTTTCGAAGTTGTAAAAAATGATGAAACCTCCTTCCTAAGGAGAGGCCTATGTCCAGTAGTGGACTATTATAGTTAAACCGCCGTAAGCTTGGCCCTCCTGATGGTTTGCGGGACGCGGGGCGGGTGATGCGCTCGGCTATACATGACACGATGTACTAACTCGATATCTTCAGATTTATTTGTTTGAGATTTAATCTACACACGGTGTAATAAAAATCGAATTTATTTCCATGTATTGTAAAGTCAGTGTATTGTAAGTTTTTATGATTAATTGTAAAATTTAATACTGTAAAATAATTTTAATAAAATCACCTTCTCTTCATCATGTAAATTATATTCAGATACAATTTAAAAATTAAGTAAAATAATAAATATTCTTTATTAGAACTTTAACAGTAGAACCTCTGTAAGCCGAACTTCAAGTTTTTAAATCTTTTTGTGACGCAGAGTCGGCAGATTATCCATGTTGCAAAATAATACCGTGTGTCTTAAGAAAAATCACACTTACAGCCATGCTTTCACGTCAGTCACTGCCGGCGGACAGCGACGCACTAGCTAATTGGTTGAATGCACCCCCGCCCCGCGTCCCCCAAACCATCAGGAGGGCCAAGCTTACGGCGGTTTAACTATAAAGGCTGTTGATGACGATGAAAAAATGATGATGATGAATGATGAAAAAATGAATGAATTCAGCCTTTACCATTTTTTTGAGAAATATATAGATTGTTTTTATTTGCCAACTTGAAAATATTATTATTAAGTTAAGATGTTGTCTATTATAGCCAACTGGTTTCTGAAAATAATTTGTTATAAGTTATTATTCATAGCTAAGCAAAGAGAGCGGCAGTTACCTATCTTTTATTATTGTTGTCAATTTACAATCGATACAATCGATTCTTTGAACCAAGATCAAGAACTCTAAGAGCACTACTAGTTTTCTATCTACTCTTAATCTAACTTCCCTTCGGAGATCTCCTGCTTTACGAAGAAAACTTCTATTAAACCGATTTAATAATATTTCTAGAAACTTCACATCAATAATAATTAAATTACTCGACTAAAAAGCAAAACTATTAAAAAATATAAAGTTTTGTAGGTACATATGACTTTTTACCCAAAAGTTTAAATACAACCATTTTTTGTACTTTTTTCAGCTCTTTAACCGTGTATAAATATTTTTATTCGCGTCTTGGCTTCTACAAGTAGTAGTAATAAACTCAAATAAAACTAGCTATAGAAAAAAACAATTTCAATGTCCAAATCAAGATTTATATAAGGTGGGTGGACCATGGAAGGCCACGCTCCTTTGAAGGCCAACTATTAAAAAGTCGTAGTTATTGACATGTAAAGACATATTCCTTCTACTACACACTACAATCCATTAAACTGAAGGCCACAGACGCGGCTGCGAGTCGCTCACGCCGCTATTGTGGCAGTGTGATCTCACACTTCGTAGATTTCGGTCGTCGACGTTACAATTGTTATTCGCGCGCACAGCAAAACGTAAGTTTTTAGTTAAATAACCTATTGTTTCCTTATATTTTTTACTGTGAATTGTCGTGTAGGGATATTTTTATGGAACTCAAGAAAAAAAAAAGAAATTGCCTCGATTTAAGTGAAAATATTGAGTGTTCCTAGGAAAGCCGGTGGTTCCTTATAAGGCCAATCAAAAATTTGACGGTTGGCCTTGCTAGGGAACATGGGCCTTACATCTATAAACCATGAACATATGAACACTTATTATGTAGTTATAAATACGTACCGTTAAAGTTAAAACAATGTTTTATATTTATAATATTTTTTTAAGGGTTTCTAACTTTTAAACTCAGATTGAATAGACATTTTTTTCAAAATTATTTTATTTTCAGTATATATTTAAATTTATTTTATGTCTATGAAGAGGTTATGTCTGGAAATAAACTAAACTAATTTACATGAAACGCAACGAGTATAAAAAATATTTGCTTGTTAAAAGCGGTAAAGTAAGTATGAGATAAGTTAAAAATTGTATATCTAAAATAAAACTATAATTAAAGCAAAAAAAAAAATTATATCAATAAGTTGATAATTGAACAGATGATTAAAATTTATACGTATTATTTCAGATTTCGAAATGTCACAGTCAAAACCTAGGAAAAGAGGTAGTAAATGGAACGAAGATAGTTTAAGACGAGCCATGGAAGCAGGACAAAATAATGAACTAAATACAAATGCTGCAGCGTTGAAGTTTAATATTCCAAGACGCACCCTTAGAAACCATTTAGTTAACTATTCTCACAAAACAATTAGAAGAAGATTTATCGCACCTAATTAAACGTTTTATTATTATTATTTTCGTTTTTTAATCTTAAGAACCGTTGATTTTAAATATTCCTGACTACAAGACTGACTATGTGCCATGATAAGTTTGTAATAATTACAGTACGTCTGTAGTGTCTATTATTTTATTATAATTAATATAAACAAGTCAGAGATTGTTAGTTTGGCCTTCCTAGGAACATTGTGGCCTTACAAAGAACGGAGCCTTAAGAAGGCCATATAAGGTAAAAAAAAAGTTTTTAATTTGATTATAAAACGCGTTGACAAGTTATTTTATATCAATATAATATTTATTACTACTAGTTTTAAATAATTTCCATTAATATAATCTTAGTTATACGATGGTGTTCAAGTAATGTTCATTGTGTTTTTTATAGATAATAAAAATATATTGTGCATTTAATGTTTCACTTAAATGAAAGAGCTTATTATGTAGTTTTAGTAAAAGCGGATATATTAATTGTTACAACTCTATTTTTAAGTTGAACGACTGAATTATAATATTGGCCTTGTTTGGAGCCCTGTTCCTTGCAAGGCCATTTGGAAGAGCTTAATAAAACTTAAGTTTAATAAATAGTTATTAAAGCTAGGTAAAAAAAAAGTGATTTGTATGGTACACAATAAACCAAAGTATTCCTTAACTATTTGTTTCCTTCATTTATCCAGTAAATATACGAATAAAAAGTGTTTATTCTTTAGAGTGGCCTTCCATGGTCCACCCACCTTATTATGGTTGTAATGAACCTACACGGGATTAATGAAAATCTAACTATAATTTAACTGAGGGGATGCGGATATCGCACTGGGAAAATAAAGGAGCGTTATTAGATTTATAAAGTTTGTTAGAAGCTCCTAGTAAGTTCGACATATATTTAAGTTAGCAGTATAAGCTGACTTTAGTGTGGATTTGTGAGGGTCTTACCACAAAACTAAGAAACAATGTTACAGCATCTATAGAACAATGATTCTCAATAGATCGTTCCCAACTGAGTCCTTGGAAAAGGTCTTAAATTGAAGTCGTAAAATATATTGTGCGACTTCTGTAAACAAAAGAAAATATATAAAATGTATATCTATTCAATGTTTCTAGAAGGTAACTTATTTTTGTTGTGACATAAGTTCGTTGTATAAGTATAAGTCTAATCTATTTTATTTCTGTTTTTTTTTCATTCAAAAATACTAGTTTTATACAGGAAATTGATATATTATGCAGACAACTGCCAATAATATTTCTTAAATGAGAAATAAATGGTTGCATTATACATTCCTAGAGCTAGCAAGAAGCACACGTGTAGAATTTTAATACATATAAATAATAGTGCCTATTATTATATCAACTTGATGTGAAAAAACTTCGGTTTTGCTATCATAACTGGCATGTTACAGAAGAATGCCAGAGCTTCATTGTCACTGGAAGTATTTGTGAATGAACTTGACTCGTAATTGTTTTATTCTTTCTTTTCTTCTTTTTAAACTTTGTTTTATAAAAGGAAAGCTGATAAATATTGTTACAGGTGGCATATCACCACCTGTATCAATATTTATCACATCAGTTATTATTACGCAATTTATAAGGAATACACAAAATAGAGGGAAAAGCAAATGCAGAACATTATTTTTTGAATTGAATTATACAATTGAAAATGTTTTATTCGTTCTTGTTGAAACGCTTAACCCAGAAGTTTTAGCAGTGCGGCTATACGAGTAGACATTTTTTTTTATTTTCTTTTTAAATATACGCATATTTTTATTGTTTTACATATTTCTCATTACATATTACTATTTGTTTATAAAATAACGTGACTAAAGTAGAAGTTCCCGAGTTCAATAGAGCATACATTAACATTTACAAAAAACAATATCGAAGATCACATTAACAAAATGGAGCTATTTCCAACTTGTAATGATCAATTTGTGGATTACGTCATCACCATTTTCCCAATTTTATTTTGGGTCGGCGTAATGTGTATTATTGAAAAGGGTTTTCTATTACGGCCAGTCATCTGCCTGATGCCGTCACTCGCTGGTAATCGGTTTTAGTCGGGACAAAGAAAAAAGGAAAATCGTAATAGCCTTTAATAGTAGAATGTTGGACATCTTTGATCTTCTATACCACACTGACGGGTTGGTACAGGATTTGTTTCAAGTTTTCCTTCTCTTTGCGGTTCTGTTGTCCTTGATGATGATGTGATGTGTGTCCTGCTTAGTTTGCTCCCTTAGTCGGCTCTTACAACACCCACGGGATGAATAGGTGTGGTAACACTTCGTATTCTTAAACCATCACACAGACAGAAAATTGGAAAAAAACCAATGAAAATACGTTCGAGCTTACCTGAAGGATGCATATTTTCGTGACACACTGGGCAGTTGACCGGCACCCTGGCTTCGAATATTTCGATGGCTAGGTACTGTCGTAGACACGACTCGCAGCAGCGGTGAGCACACCACGCCAGTCGCACCATCACACTCGTGTTTAGCATTGTAAGGCATAGTGGACATTCCAGTATATCGCCCTGGAAATAAATATTTTACAAATGAGGGTGATGTGTGAACTAACGAGCAGATTGACTGAACAGTTTTTTTTTACGTTTTAATAGCTAATGATTAATTATATTTTCTTAGATATAAGTATAATTGATGTTTATAGAAAACAGTATGATTGAATTTATCTTTGATGACAACAATTATAACAAATGATAACAATGATATTTGTTTTGACAATTTCCATTTGTTAAGAATCCAATCCAAAATCAAACATCACACACACATCACATCAACAGCCTTTTATAGTCCACCGCTGGACATAGGCCTCTCCTTAGAAAGGAGGTTTTGGTACAATCAAACTGCTGGTAATCTCCAGCCTGTTCCCACTTTTGATAAATCAACTTTATTTTGAAATCATTCGTAGAAAACCTTCAACATACGAGCTTTTTTAAGTATTAGATAGCTGTTGACTGATTCAATGAATAAAATATTCTAGCATTTGCAAAAAAATGTTTGCCTTGTGTCGAATACAGTCTCAACTACACTAAAGATAAAACAACTATTTTTAACACGGTTTTATTAGCTTGGTATGTATGTATATAACGGAATCTTCAAACGATATTTTGGCCCACTTCAAAACGTCGAATTACACGTCACACTTATTAAGGACCAGGAGACCAGGAGGCAGGCATGAATGGGACTTTTGTAGGCTCTACTGAAGTCGATACCAATGACAGCTGGCTGTCACAAATGAGTTGTCATTGCTGTCAACAAGTTTACCTAGATATCTTTCAAAATCATTCGTTTACGATTTTCTTGATCCATCGATATCGATGGATAAAAAAGTAATTAAACTGATTTGACCTGGCAACATTATATAATGTTGCCAGGTCAAATCAGTTTAATTACTTTTTTACATAATGTTCACGATTAATGTAATCGATCTGAATAAAAGTTATTAGTACCTTTCCTTAAATTAATTGATTTAAAATAATCATTCCTTTATTATTATTTTTTAGTAGTTTACTAGTTTCGGAGCCTATTCAATAGCTGTGAAGGACCTAAATAATTAAAATAAATAAATAAATAAATTACTTCGTCTAATCTGTACAGTCAACATTATTAATAAAAAAATGTTTGTTTGAACATATCGTTTTTATATAATTTATATTTTATGCATGGCAAGTTTAGAAGACGAATAAATGCGTTTTGTTAATAATACTTCAACGTATAGTTATTGCTGTTGTGACAATTATTTAAGAAGAATTTATTTACTTTTAGCCTAAGTTCTAAACATGTGATAATTAAATGTAAGTAGTTAAGGTAATTCACTTTATAAAACGGTACAAATCTCATAACCATCCATCATTTCAAACGTTCTCATTTGGCCGATTATCCTGATCAAGATCTTCAGGATAAACGGCTTTTTACATACCTAAAAATACGGTAGTATCTTTTGCTACGCACTAAGAGGCATATGTGACTTACTTACTTGATAGTTTTTAATAATAATTATCATTAAATGACTAAAAAACACGCTTTTGTAACTAGCCGAACTAAAAGGTAGATATTTTCTACTTTTTAGTTGCGTTTCTTACAAATGCATGTTTTTTAGTTTTTTAAACTATAATTTATTCTATTACTGGTTGATTGATATCCGTGAAGGTTACATAGATATCAGGTTGTAAGTGGATGCCAGGCATGTCTGGCATATATTATTCTGAACCAGATAATTTCCGATGGACACGTGACATACATATCTTTAAGTGAATTTGATACTAGTGTATACTATATGTAAGTTTAATATTGTCTACACCGTAACGTATATATGGAAGATCACGTGTCCTATAAAAATAATAAATTTAGAGCGTGGTCACAATTTTTCTTTGTGTGCCTGTGTGTTCTGATTACTCTGTCAGGGTAGTTTAAACAATTCACACAGTGACGTAGACGAGGGTTAACGCCCGGAGACAGACATACACATTTCGCCTACACAGATGCTGCAAAAAATCTTAATTGCGTTTGTAATTAAACCTTACTTCTGCAAAATATGAATGAACAAGATAACGAACACGATGAGACATTGACAGTTGCTTGAGAACATAAAATAACTATGCTAGAGCTCGTAAAATATAAAATGGCAAAATAAAACATATAAATTCCCATTTGTTTTTATTATTTCACATTATGTTATGTACTGTAAATGCAGATTTGTTTTAAAAAATATGATAAATGGTCACTGTTTCACACAGTAAAAACAATGACCTTCAGCTAGACACATTAAAAACAGTTTTTATGTACAGTATATTGATTAGGATAGAATATATTCATCAGTGTAGTATTTTTCTCACTACAACACGATGCAATTTAATTCCAAATATTTTTTTGTATAGAGACCCGCCATTGTTATTTCTCTTAAATCAGTCTCTGTATTGATGAAATGCGTAGTTTGAAAGATCTACAGGAGGCGGTAGGCTATGTAAAAATACTCGTACATGCATTGTATCTCGTGCATGCGGTTTGTAGTTACTTTTTATTTTTCATATAACTTCAAAACGAATTAAGCGATTTGAACAATTCAAAAAGGAATTTGCACCTAAATATATTGCCTAAATTACTAATTAGTTCATTTAGATAAGGATGAATATCATGATACAGATAGAATCACTTTTTGTTTTGATCCATTTATTTAGTTGAATAATTTCAACAAAAAATAGTTATCATAGCTAAACTATAATATTTAGATACCTCCTCGCGGACTTTTTTGTGTGCATTGATGAGTATTATTAGTTTTTGCAGCGCATGCGAAGATAGCAAATATTTTTGTCAATTCTTTTATACCTGGCTTCAAACTATCGTTATTTTTATAAGAAATTATATTTTCAAAATAAAATATAGCGTATGTTACTTGCTGATAATGTAGCTTTCTGGCGAATTTTTTTTATAGTAGTTTACTAGTTTCGGAGCCTATTCATAACAAACAAACAAACAAACAAAAAAAATCAAATCTTTCCTCTTTATAACATTAGTATAGATTTGAAAATCGTGCCTTTTCTCACTCACGGCTTTGTTTCGTTTTAAATGGTATTTATTATACTAATTTTCACAGAACAAAAAGTCGAGTGAACAGCTCTCACACAACTTGTTTTATTGTATGCTGTATGTAAAATACATTTAAAGATCAATTGTTCATGTCGAAAGCACAATTACCACAGCATTTCATAGTGTCAAAACTATTACTGTATACTCATACCGTCTAGGAAATTGTTCGCAGCTTTCTTTCAGAAAGCCATCGCTTATACTTAAGAGATATCTTACATCCTGTATTGTATATATTAAACAATACTCTTAGTTTCACACCGAAGTTATAGTTATTTGACTTTGTTTATACATTGTGATAGACATTATCCTCATTGTAATGCAACAACATTACAAAATAATACGGTAATACCCAGTGCGTATAAAAATGAAATAAACAAAGTTTTCCTTGAGTTTAACAAAATATGTGTTGTCGTGGCACTGCTCAGAATTTGAATATTGAATAAAGGTTGTATATTGAATAAAGATTTTTATTGATATCTTATTGTATTCTATATACTCGTGTATGTTTCCTTCCGTCCGCGTGTATGTCGGTTATTCCGGTAAAAAGTAGCATATATCCTTTCTAAATAATTAAACTATCTCTATACCGAATTTCATCTAAATTGAGTCAGCGGTTTAAGCGTAAGAGTAACAGACAGACAAAAAAATAATTTTATCGTATTATTGCGTGAGGTGCTAGATCTCAATTGTTGTTAAAATATTTTACTTACAGATATTGGTAAAAGTAAATTTATATTATTATAAAATATCTTGAAAAGCACAAAAGCATCCCACGCTTTTTTTGATAAAATTATTTTCCCTTTTGAACTTTTATTATATATATATATATATATATAAATATATATCTTAGCGTGTTTTTTAGTTTTTTTAAAGTATAGTTTATTTTTGCTTTTTTTTAGTAATTGATGATGATTATTTTCTCATTAATTGTAAGACTAAAAAAATAACAAGTGAGTACGTCATATATGCTTCAGCACACGCCTCTTAGTACGTAGCAAGAAACACTTACCGTATTTTGGGTATGGAAAAAGCCGTTAATCCTGAAGATCAGGATAATCGGCCAAATTTTTTTTTTTTTATCCTTGACAAGTGTACGAAGATTCAATTTAATTTCAACGTTTTGGAGATGGTCAAAATTACGTTCGAAGATTTCGTTACATATGTACATTCACAAATACATACATACAAGCTTATAATGGCGTGTTAAAAAGAGATAAGTATGCCCCATAGTCTAAATACAAACTTCTATTTTTTTTTATTAAACTCACTTATTTCTTTATGATATGGGGGGAACAAGAAGAGAACTCTGAGTCTGGGTCGTAAACGACTACTGCATCTTATGAGTGCAACGCAAGTTGCGTAGCGGCCTTTGATAAGTTAAAGTTATTAAAATTAAAAAGATAAAATTAGTTATGTTGTCCTTAATAAGAGTATGTATTGCATGACACCATAGCAGCATAGTACAGATCAAACTTTCTGGTGCAACTGATTAAATATACGAATCAGAACACCTTTATTAGAATCAACTTACTACCGTGGGAGAGCCATGATTCGGCACGAATGGACCGGAGTGATACCACGACTTCACTGAAAACCGGTGTTAAAAAATTCTTTCGTTGCCTTTCACTGAGTGAATGAGGTTACCGGAACCCAAATCCCCCCCTCCCGCTGACTCGAGCGGGAGGGACTCCAAGGGCGACAACGCACTTGTGACTTTATAGTTGCAGGTGGGCATGGGCGGCGGTAGTTGCTTACCATCAGGTGACCCGTCTGCTCGTTTGGCGTATTTTTTATAAATACTTATAAATTTGACCATAGATTAAGTAGAAAAGAAATTAATTATGTTAGTGGACCCATGAAATGTATTATTGGTCTTTATGAAGTTATGTATCAGAGAAATGTTATTAGCGTAATGTGGTAAGAAGAA